TGATCAAGTTTCTCATCGTATGTTACACACACACGTTTCATTTCAACAGAGTGGCCGACAAGCCGTGTACGTACTCTTTAATTTTTCCTTGCTCTTCAAGCTCCCCAAGCTGCAAATAAATATATATATATATATATAATTATGATATTTATTATAGACATTGAATCAGTCAAGTCGTAGTGAAAAAGAAAAAAAAAGGTGTGATGATGAAGCCAGAGAGGAAAGGGGAGAGAAAGGGAGAGAGGCATGAGGAGAGAGAGAGGGGAGAGGGAGAGAGAGAGAGAGAGAGAGAGGTCTATGAAAAGGTAGGAAATACATGGCCGATTGCACGCCGCCCTATTTGTCAAGAGTTCATGTCAGGATTTTTCAACAAGCGTGCAGGAGAGGAGTCAGGGAGGGGGGGGAAGAGATGAAGAGATGGAGAGAGGGAGAGAGAGACTCACACTTTGGTCGCTGATCGTCCGGATCGTCAAAAGGCGCATTCTTGGCGGCAATGGCGCGCATACGCTCCCTCGCAAAGGATGAGGGGCTGATGCGGCCGCCCAGGACGGCAGAGGCTGCTGCTGCCGCCGCCGCCGCGGCTGGACGAGGGCGAGGGCGACGAGGGGGGCGATCCTGAGAATATTGCTGCTGCTGCTCTGCTGCTGCGGATGTGTCCAGTTCGGAATCCTCGGGTTGGGTGGGCAGCATACGCAGAGCCCGTGGTTTCCTCTTCTTGCGGGGTCGGTGTGCGGGTTGCGGCGGTTGGGGTACTCGCTGCTGCTGCTGCTGCTGCTGCTGCTGCCGGTGGCCGTCCGCTTCTCCCTCTCCTCCTGAGCAGTCCTCCTCGGCAATGGTGTCATTGGTGGTATTGCGGTGTTGGTGATCTGGTTCGGGTGCTGTGGTGATGCTGGCGGGCTCGACGCCTTCCTCCGCCAGGCCGGCGGCACTCTCATCTGATCCTCTCGAGTCGTCGCGCGGCTTGAGGGGCGTCATGGGCACCTGAGACTCCGGCGTGGTCCTGTTCTCCGACGACGACGACCGCTGCTGCCGCTGATGCTGGTGCTGATGCTGATGCTGATTCTGCGACGACGACGACGACGACGACGGGGAGCCTAGGAAGAGGAACAGTCGGCGCCACCACGGCGGTGCGCCCCTGCCGGCCTGGTAGTATGGGTGGTGGCCGTTGGGAGACGTCAGGTTCTCGAGGTCGACGCGACCGCGGAGCTTGCGCAGGGCCCTCTCCCGCCGGACCATGCCGTTCGTGATCTTAGGGCTGTACCCCCGCGGCAGCATGCAGTGCTTGCACATGGGGCACAGGGAACTGTTGCTAGTCAGGAACTCGTCTATGCACTCGGGGTGGAAGATGTGGCCGCAGCTGAGCTCGCGGATGACGGAGACGCGGTGCTCGAAGGGCCCCAGGCAGATGTGGCAGCTCGGCTGGGCGTTGGTGGCCGTCGTGTCGACGGAACCCACCAGGCTGGACCTCTTGCTCCTGATGCTCCCCGGCGGTCGGATATCGGATATCACGCTGCGGCTGTCGTTGTGGTGGTGATGGTGGTGCTGGTGGTGCTGGTGGTGCTGGTGTTGTTGGCTGTGACGTCTCCGGCTGCTGCGGGATCTCGAAGACCGGACCGACCTGGATCCCGCGACGGAGCTCGGTGTGGAGGGGACGGTGCTGCCGGCACCGGAAGCTGACGAGAGCTCGGGCTCAGCGTTGTAGGTGAAGATGGGGAACTCCTTGACGTGGCTGGCGGGGACGGTGACCCGCTTGATGCCGCTGGCCTCGAGGTCGACCTCGCCCGACTCGACGCGTCGGCGGAGGGCGCGTCGGCGGTTGCGCTGGATCAGGTGCATGGTGAGGGAGACGCCGAGGATGATGAAGACGAGGGAGCCGATGACGATGATGAAGAAGATCCACAGGGCCAGGGCGTTGGAGGGGCTCTCCATCTCGAGCTCGGTCCAGATGCGGACATAGTCGCTGGGGTTGGGCCCGTAGAGCTCGGCGATCTCGTCGCCGTGGGGGATGCTGCTGACGTTGCCCGAGTACAGGCTCAGCTCCGACATCATCTTCTGGCCCTGGAGCCCCGGGACGGCGAAGACGGGGTACAGGTTCGACTTCTTCCAGGCGCCATCGTCGTCGAGGTTCCAGACGGGCGAGTCGACATCTTGGGGCTTGTCGGTCGAGTTGTTGGGCTTGTAAAAGATGAGGCCCTGTATGGGGTCGAAGCGGGCGGAGGCGAGGTAGGCCTCGGTGCAGTCTATGCTGAACCAGGGGGCCAGGGCGACGAGCTTGTAGTTCGTGGGGGGGAGGTCCGCACGGCGGGTGACGTTGTGGGGTATATAGTCGTACTGGAGGCTGTCGCAGGAGGGGTTCGACGAGATGTCGGGGACGTAGAGGAGGCCCTGCAGGATGCCGTCGAGGGTGTTGGCATTCGTGGTGGTGAGGGTCGTGATATTCTGGCTGATGCGTTCTTCGTATGCTACCTGGCTCTGCGGGAGGTTGGGGGGGTCAGAAGGTTTCCTCCGCGCGATTCTCCCGGTGTCTTTGACAGCGGCAGGTGAGGAGATGTCGAGGGGTTGAGGTCACGCCGACGTACCGATAAGGCGGTAATGTTTCGGATGATCGTACTCGGGACGGTACCGGCACCAGACCAGACCGGGTTGCTAAAAAGAAGTCTTTGAGGAGGAGGGGGATGTCAGCTTGTGAAGGGAGTCGGGACGGGTCCGATCGGTCGACGCGACGACGGTCTTGAGAGGTCGGGGTATGGGCCAGGAACAGATGACGTACACAGCATTTCGGATCTCGTTGAGAGCTGTCGAGGATGGCGGACGGGGTACGTTAGCTTCGAAATGTGAATGTGATCTGGTAGATGGGATGCGCCGAGACGCCGCCGAGACGCCAGGGCTGAGAGACGCGTCTTTTGGCGGCAGAAGGACGGGGGAAGGGAGAGGGAAGTTTATATATATATATATATATATATATATATATGTGTGTGTGTGTGTGTGTGTGTGTGTGTGCGTATGCGTATACATGCAATATATATATATATACATATATATATAACAAGCGGCGTCTCGAAGAGGGTTTCGGAAGAGATGTGGATAGGCAAGGATGGAAGACGTACACATGCTTCTTCTATGACATGATCAAGGCTTCTGCGACTGGGGTGTCATGATAGAGCGGGCACCGACGGCGCGACAGCAACGGCCCCGGAGTCGGCGGGATGCCCCCGTTGCGCCAACGGGGGGCGAAGAAAGAGGGGATGCGGGCAGTCAAGGTCGTATGCCAGACGGAGGGGTGAGTATATGCAGTCTTCGCAACGGCCAGGCTGTCGGGGAGAAGAACGGCGGCTTCGATACGGAGGAAAGAGACGGAGGGAGACACGTGTGGACGGGTGTGGAATTGACCGGGTGCGTGTTGTTCCTCTCCGATCGCTTGCTCTTCTCTTCTCTTCCGGGAGATGGAGGAGGGCGGCGGTCCGACGAGAGGGTGCGCAAGACGTGGCAGCAGGTCGGCTCTCTCGTCTGAATTCCGGAAACGGGGAAGGGGGAGCGAGCGTGGTGGGCGCGTCTCGAGGGCGAGGGGTCGGTCGGTCCGTCAACTGCGCACGATGGGCGACAACCTACATGGGAGAGCAGGATGGTCTCGTCGTCGGTTGGAACGCGATGGGCGGCGCACAATGGTGTGGGATCCGAGAGGGGAGAAGGAGAGAGGGGAAAGAAGGAGAGGAAGAAAGGAAGAAGAGAGAGAGGGACGTTGGGAGCTGCGGGGGAGGCGGAGCAGAGAGAGAGAAGAGAGTGAGTGAAGAAGTAGTGGTACGGTGTGAAATGGTTGGAGGTTGAAGGAGGGTTCAAGAGGTGGGTGGACTGTACACAGTGCGTATCGGATATACTGCTGAGAGACAAGAGAGAGTTTTTTTTTTTTTTTTGCTCTCTCTTCGTCCTTGGGCCGAGGGTAACGTACTGATGGGACGTCGATACAGGGGTCTGCTGGTTGCGTGCGTGTGCGTACGTACGTTTGGGGCTTCTGGGGTGTGGGAAAGGAAAAGAGGAAGGGAGAGGGCGAGAGAGAGAGAGAGAGAGATAGAGAGATAGAGAGGACGGATGGGGAAGGTGAGAAACAGAGAAGGTGAGAGAAAGAGAAGAGGATTGAAATGTGGAACAACGGCGCTGAAACGGTGGGAGAGAAGCGAAAGCGAAGATTGCCGCCGCTGAGAGCCCCCCCCGAGAGAGAGAGAGAGCAGAGAGAGAGCAGAGAGAGCAGAGAGAGAGCAGAGAGAGCAGAGAGATGGTCTGAATTAGAAGGGGTAGGTGGCGTTGGCGTTGATGACAGTGGAGTGGCAGGTACTTGGTTGCAGGGCAAGATGGCAGAGTCTAGCGGACGCGTCTACCTGTAATCTGTATTCTGTATTCCTCGTACGGAGCGTCAATGTCATGTATCATTATATAATACAGCGATGCTCGTAGGGGAGCACTCGTAGGGGAGCAATCGTTAGGGGAGCAGCTCGTAGCCTGTAGGGGAGCAGTCGTTAGGGGAGCAGCTCGTAACAAGGTCCCCGATCCCCGCCCACAGCGATGATGACGGGTACAGAGGTACAGGTAGGTACATGCAGGTCAGGTATCACTCGCCCGTCCGGCGCTGTATCATCGACCCCCCCCCCAACCTGATCCCAGCATGCACCGATACGGGGGGACCAGCCCTGTATTCCCACATTCCACCAGGTGCTCGTAGCTATACGGACCATATGCGGAGTACTCGACGTACTCGTAGTCCGGGTACAGGTACGGAGCGCATACGACATGATAAATTGCATGGTGCGGACCGGGACCTAGACTAACCCTCCAGGTATAGAGTACGGATCGCTGCACTACACATCACACCGGCTTCTTGAGTACCCGGTACCTCTCTCACCTCACCCTCCCCTCCCCTCAGGACCCTTTCGCCATCACCCAACCTGCACTCAGCATGTTATGAATACGAGTACTCCGTATTGAGTCTTGACATGTCCGTATTGTGGGAACTCTTTTTTTTCTTTCTTCTTTTTTTTTCCCTCTTGTTGTCGGTCTTCTTCCTCTACGGATACGCACAACACGTATCACGAGCATCATTATTATTATCATCACTCCGTACTATTGTATACTGTCATGATTGCTGAGCTACGGATCACACATATATACATATCATACTCCGTAATACTACCGCAACGTATCATCAGGGTTCAGCAGTGATAGGCTCTATATCAGCACTATCGATAGTCTGCCGGAGAAGGAGGAGAGAGGGAAGGGGGGGGGGAAGAGAGCCTGTCGTGTCGGGAATACCATATTACATGATCCAATTCAATGTCATTGTTCATAATCCTCCGTACTCGTAATAGATATGTCAGTATAATGCACACACACATACACACACACACACACACACACCCCTTCTTCTGTCTCGAAGCTACCTCGCCTTGCTTCCCTCCCACTCTCCCTCCCGACCTTCCCTCACTGCGACGTCCTGACAGCTCCCTCGTCTACGGTGTATTACTCATCGTACCTCTCTCTCCTCTTGCTGACTAACAGCAGTCGACGGCCCAGACTCTGGTGTGCGGGTGAAGGTGTACGGCGTGACGTGGTTCGATAATCTAACGCGAAGGAGAGGAGAGACATTGGACTTCATGCGTGGAATAGAATAAGAAACATGGCAGACGAAGTGATACGAGTAGAAAACACAGAGAGGGTCCAAGCAGAAGAGGAGAGGAAAAGACCAGGGTCTTTAGCCGTACACACCTAGACTACGGCCCATGGCAGCCACAGAAATGTCTGACCAGGTCACACCACCCGGCACAGTGACAGAGACCAACCGAGAGTGTCTACATGTATTCATACTGGCGGATTTATGGATTATCTCTACGTGCACTGTTCGTAGCAATATCAATCATTGTATTCCGTCTACTCGAGTATATATATATATATATATATATATATGTGTGTGTATATGTGTGTGTGTGTGTGTGTGTGTGTGTGTGTGTGTGTGTATGTACGTATATATATGCATGTATATATATGCATGTATATTACATGTATCGTACATACCTTCTCAAAACCAAACCTCAAGAGAATCACCTCTACACCTTCTCTCTCACTCTCCCGGTACCGTACGAGGATTATACAAGAATAATACCCCGTACATGCCTGATCAGTCATCATCGAGGACACATGTACACATACATGTACTCCGTACATGATATGATATGTATATCGATATATGTGCGAGTATTATTGCGTGGTTCCGAATCCAGCCCCCGGACCGCTCCCCTCTCCCCTCCCCTCTCCCCTCCCACTCCCCTCCCCCACCTCCCCCTGACGTTCTAGACGCGTCCGTGCCGCAACGTGTGGCCTGCTTGCTGCATTCGCTCGGCCCTCACTGCTCAGCTGCGCTCAGCTGCGTTCAAGCTGCGCTCCAACTGCGCTCCAACTTCTCTGATGGCCGGACCGTATGCGGACGAGTGATGCTACCGCTCGCACGCGCATCGCAGCGTCGATGCCAGGTCCCGGTACTCGGTGATGCCGTACGTCGGATAATGAATACGTCGCATCACCCCGTATCATCATCGACTCTTGCAATTGTTGCTCGCTTCCCCAGTACCAGTACGCTCCGACAGTTGCTCCCTGTGAGTAGATCCCCCTTCTCCAATCCTCCCATCGATAATAATACATGTACGCGCCCCTGTCGAACCTCTCGAGCCACATCACCCAATCTTCAGGCCTTCTTCACTCCTTCACCATGTCCACCAATCTCCGAGGCCCTTGCATTTAGCTTCTTGCACGGGAGTACGTACAGATTATTACATCGTAAACCATCATCAATCGGCCGTTTCAGACTTCTACTCGTTCTACCTCGTAATACCCCAATACTGACCCCAGAGTCCAGCTGCGAGCACATGTCCGTAGCCAACGTACGGTCTTCTCTCCGCAATGTGCTCGTACCCAAGATATACCACTGCTGCTGCTGCTGCGACGGCATCGTCTCCCCCAAGGCTCAGCCCTGGCATCTACACGGAAATTCGAGGCCATGTCACCTAGTAACGGCTGCCGTAGCCGCCGCCACCGTAGCCACCGCCTCCGTAGCCGCCGCCTCCGTAGCCGCCGCCGCCGCCTCCGTACTCGCCGCCGCCGCCCCCGCGACGACCGCCGTACTGGTCCTCGTCCTCACCACCACCGTACCCATCCTCATCACGTCCGCGGCTCGGCTCCCTGCGACCGCCGTAGCCGCCGCCGCCGCCTCCGTAGCTAGACTCCTCACGGTCCCCGTAACCGCCGCCACCGCCGTAGCTAGATTCCTGGCGGCCGTAGCCCGAGGACTCCTCGCGGCCGCCGTAGCCGCCGCCGCCGCCGTAGCTCGACTCCTGACGGCCACCGTATCCCGAAGACTCCTCACGGCCGCCGTATCCCGAAGACTCCTGGCGACGACCGTAAGAGTTGTCCTCGTCGTCGTCACGACGCCCTGAGGAGCGGCCGTAGCTAGACTCCTCCTGCCGACGTCCGTACGAGTTGTCCTCGTCGTCGTCACGGCGTCCTGAGGAGCGGCCGTAGCTAGACTCCTCCTCACGGCCACCGTAGCTCGACTCTTGACGGCCGTAGCCGCTGTTGCCTCCGTAGCTCGGCTCCTCCTGCTCGTCCCGGCGAGAGCTCTGCCTGTTGCCGTCGGACCTCCGCTCTCTCTCTTCGCCTCCGAGGGCTCCGCTGAGGAGGGACCCGGCAGCGCCGAGGAGGCCACCGAGGGGGCTGTCGTCGTTCCTGTTGTTTCTGCGCCCACCGCCGCTGCCGCCGTCACCGACGGCTTCCGAGAGCATGTCGGTGGCGCCCGAGAGGATAGCTCCTGCGGCGGCGTTGGCAATCTTGTCCTCCGCGGTCTCGGCACCGTAGAGCTTCTGCATCTTGAGCTTGCCAGCACAGCCGTGGCCGTGGCCGGTGTCGTAAACACCCTCGCGGTGGTTCTGACCGTTCTTGACGCCGTTGCGCGAGAGTTTCTCGCGGTAGTCGCTGCGCTGGTCGTCTCCCATCTCGCTCCACCACTCCTCGACGGTCTGGAAAATCTGGCGGCGGCCCTCCTCGGCGCCCTCGCCGCCCATCTCGCGCTGGGCGGGGTGGTGCATGACGCCGCGGACGATATGGTCCAGCGTGCTGTCAATGTCGATCGACTCGTCGTCAATGGCCCTCATGAGCTGGGGGACGACCCAGTGAACCGTCTTAGCGGCACACTGACCGGCAAGCTCGTTGAGGATCTGCAAAATATCAGCCGGTATTCACGCGGGTGACTCTAAAATCTCTCGTTCTCGCTCTCACTCTCACTCGGATCTCAGATCCCCCGTCCCCGGATACATCCGTTCCCCTTTGTGCGTATGCATACATCATCTCTCTGCTCTCTTCGGCCGTCTGCTCTCCTCATCTCGTGGTTCGATCTTGTACACATACGTTTGAAAAGTGGTCCTTGGACAGCATAGAGTGGGTAGGGTCGGTGGAGTGATCGTCTTCAAACACAATGTGCTGCTCCTGCTCAGAAGAGTTGATGATCTCGTTGGATCCCGTCATGAGCTCGCTCTTGATGTTCTTGATGAGGGGCACGACGAAGGGGGCGATGAGGGAGAAGACGAAGCGCGACAGCTGCTCCTCGAGCTGCTCAATGATCTTGGGCAGGACCGGGATGGATTCGGTGGCATGGGTAATGGCCTGCATGACGTCGTCGTGGAAGGTGATGGCGGGCATGACCTGCTCGTAGGCATCCTGGATGTAGCGGGTGAACTCCTCGGGCTCGCGGGGCGAGATACTGGTGTTGGCCATCTGGGCCGAATTGGCGTTGTTCTTGAGCTCATCGACCTTGTCGCTCTGGTGCTTGTCGCCAAACATGCCGTCGGGGATCTGGTCGAGGAGGGACTGGAGCAGGCTGGTGTCCGACTTGGCGCTCTCCTGGAGAGTGCCCTCGAGCTCGTCAATCTCGTTCTGGGAGAGCTTGTCGGAGACTGGTGGGATTGGTCAGTCTACAATAATCTTTTATCTTCCTTTCTGTGTTTTTTTTTTTTTCGAAAAGAGTTGAGGGTGTTGATGCTTACCTTCGCCAGTGACACTGTGAAGAAAGTCGACGCCACCGAATGTACCGCTACCATGGAACTGTCATCAGCACGCACACACACACTTTCCCTCCAGTTCAATGTCCTATACATACGTGATAAGGGGGTAAACCTCGCCACGGGCTCCCTCGAGTTCGATCTTGGTGCGGCGGCCGACGTGAGGGAAGATGTCGTCCTCGCCAAGTTCGATGAGAGCAAGCTCACAGTAGTTGCTGTGGGCGAAGAAGTCTGTGAAGAGTCAGCACATCATTCGCACTGAGAACGGTGACTAGCAGAAAAGACCAAGTGGGCGAAAAAAAAGGAAAAAGAAAAAAAAGAGTGCACGTACCCTCGAGGCAGTGCAGACCGGTACCGAGAACACGCAGAGACTCGTGGAGGTCCTTCTTGTCGCCCCTCTCACCGTAGCGGCGGCCGAGCTTGATGCACCTTGAAAAGAGCTGCCTGATGAGCTCGGCCGAGGTCATGATGCCGGCGTTCTCATTGGCAATGTAGTTCTTCATGCCCGTCTCGCTGTCAATGGAAAGCTCCGTCTCCTCATCGACGGGGCCACGCAGGCGGCGGTCGTACTGGCGAGCGTCAACGTTGTCGGCGTAGTTCTTGGGGTTGTCAATGTGCTCCTCGGGCCTGTAGCAGCCGAGCCTCTCGGCGGTGACCTCGAACTCGCCGGAGCCGTATCCAAAAGTCATGAAGCCTAGGATGCAGAGGAGGAGACGGATGGCCTCGGCCGAGATGGACTTGACGGTGCCTACGTCGATGGCCTGGGAGTAGTCGCGGGCCCAGTTGCCAAAGTAGGTCTGGGAGACCATCATCTTGGTGAACTTTTTGCCGCCGTTGTAGGCTTGGGCGGCTGCCAGGCTGAGGAGGACGTCCTCGATGTCACCATGGCGCCCTGGACATGTTAGCTGTGTCTGTCTGTCTTGCCTGAGAGATAGAAAGAGCTCTCTCTCTCTCTCTCTCTCTCTCTCTCTCTCTCTATCTCTCCTCTCTCTATCTCTATCTCTATCTCTATCTCTGTAGAAGAGCCGTACCCTCGGTATATATATATACCAAAGGTCTGATGAATGGACGTACAGTTCTTGTGCTCAACCTTGGAGATAGAGGCAATGTTTCCCGCGCCAAAGGCAGCGACGGGCGTCACGGCCCACGCAAAGGCCAGCAGGAGGGCGAGACGGAGCATGATACCAGCAAGCTCAGTTTAAGGGTATGGATATCGCTGAATAGTTGGAAAATGGGCTATGATCTTTCTGCGGATTCCTCTCTTGCAAAGAAGGAAGGGCGGCAATAAGGAGGGAAGAGGGAAGAAGAGAGGAAAGGAGGGCGGGGTGGGCGAAAGAGGAGGGTGAGGGGTGGGTTCTCTCTGTACAGTAGATGTAGCCCTGGTCCCTCGGAGGGCGAGCAGCTCTGCGTGGTATTTTTAGCACCAGGCCAGGAGAGAGAGAGAGGAGAATTACGTATAGGTAGTAGAGGGAAAGGACCTATATAATAGGCGTGCGTTAAAGCCGTTTAAGCACTGAAACTAGAGTTGATACTTGGCTGGCTATATACGTAGCATGAAATTGGCAGTCGAAACTCACACACACAAGCAGCGCGGCGTCCTTGGTGCGTGGGAATATTGACGATCCCCATACTTTCAGCCGTGAAGAGGAGGTGGGGGGGGGGCAGCGACGACCACGCGTTTCGGGGCCTACGATTCAAGACCCAGACGGTCTTCTTCTCTGTGCCGCAAGCACTATCACGAGCACTACGAGAACAGCGGATAGTAATGACAGTCCACCCCTATCGTATGTACGAGTGTCTGTCCGTGCAGAGGTGCTGTTGCTCTCCCTCTATCCTCAACCGGTGGGTGATGTGGCTCTCTCGAGTGTACAATGTAGTGGGAGGGGAAGGAAGGAGGGGGGGGGGGGGGGGGGGGGGGGGAGATGAGGGGCAAGTAATACTCAAGCTCAAGGCCTCAGGGTGAAACCGGTACGGTACGTCGTGTGGTAGTAAATAATAGTGGCACCACAAGCTGGCACCATAAGCCTACAATGTATGCTTACAGCCTGCCTATACATGTATCACATGGAGGAGCATTGCACTACTGGGCAGGTCCGATGCAGCACCCTCTCTATCTGTATATGTAGTATCATCACGACAGCCATCATTTGATGGCAGGGGGTATCAGGGGTCGTGTCACTCGTGCGTACTCGTATGTTACGTATGTCTCTGGGTCCGGTACGTACCTGACTACTGGCTACTCCCGAGTTCCTAAATCATGCGTAGATGCGATGTTCTCTTGAAGCTACGTAAGAGCCCAAATGACTCATCCAATCAGAGGGATCAGAGAGTGTACCAGCTGACTCCGCCGAGGGGTTGCAGCTGGAGCCATGTACGAGTACGAGATGGTGAGCTCCATGGACGTGCTACCAAGACGAGTCGACGTATGGATGGCCATGATCAACACCCCGTCTCTCTCTAACGGTTCCCGGTCCAGTGATGGAGGGTCTGGAAGGGTTGACGGTTTTCCAAGGTCATGTATTCCCTGTACCTCCGATGTATCGTACGTTACGGGCGCTGTGTGGCATTCGTGATGGCGCTAGATCGGGCCTGTAGGCAGCCACACTCTCGCTGCTCGTGTAATGCTCGCATCGCCACGTACAGCAACCTGCAGTCGCCCCGTGAGGCGAGACTACATTACCGCTAGCAGATCAGAGAGATAACAATAGAGGCCGAAGATTTCTCTGATCCCAGCGTACATCTGAGGGATACATACATGATGAGCAACTTTTTTGGCTATACAGAGAGGTACGACGTACTCGTACATGCATCCAGCATCTTCTTACCCTGCGTACATACATGCAATCGTTGTTCTGAGCGACGCTGTGTTCGAATTTGATGGCACCAGGCCTTGATCCCAAGTCTTGACGACTGGTCCTTTCATGAATGTGTTTTCTCGTGGGACGAAGTAGGTGATGCTCGTGTGAAGGGTTGACATCGAGGATCGGTTATGCAACCGATCTATCTATCTATCTATATATTTAGATATATATATATGTATATATGTGCCTGTGCTGTTGTGCGAGCACTAGTAAAGTGCTCCCCAAAGCATGGGATCGACTCTACAAGGCAATGCACAATAACGCACCGCGACGGATGATCCTATGGACCGACTCGTCTCCGAGGAGCAAGCCTATCTTGGGGTGGGAGAAATGCCACTGAGGATATGCCTTGGCCGGGTATTTACGTGGTGTATATCACCATGATAACGTGTACTCGCCCAACTGCGTTGTCATACAAAGACGTCGAGTGTAAGCAGTGGCACGGTGAACGGGTTGAACCTTCTGATAGCCCCTACGCGCCGCATACATCGGGCACTGGCCGTGTGGCACAGACAGGGTAGGGGACAGCAAAGTGGTATTACCGGCTGAGGCACGAGCAAGCGCTAAAGTGGAGGGTGGTCATCAAGGAAGGTGGCTCAGTCGGCGGGCAGGAGCAGCGCGGGTGGTGAACAGGTGCTGGGCAGGTGCTGGGCAGGTGCCGTCGGTGTTGGGCAGCCGTTTACGGGCAGTTGTGTGAGTGATTGAACGATACAGCGAGCCATCGTCGTCGCCACAAGAGAATGCGACCGCGAGACTGAAGCGTTGAAGCTGCTCAGTCCATCTCTTCAGAAGGGCGCTGGGGAATACAGTTGTCTGCGCTGAACTCGAACCGCTGAAGAGTCCTCCCCCAAGAAGGGCCTGGATGGGGAAAGACGCTGAAGCCTGCGAGAACAGAGACACCGGGGGCACAGCGAGAACCCTTTCAGCGCGCGCCTGAAGAGAGGACCCGTCAGCGCGCTTTGTTTTGGGGGGTGGAAGGGACTGTGGGTGGACCACGGGGGGCCTGTCGGCGCCGGCACGCTCGCTGGTGACTGGCTAGTTGGGGGCTTTTGTTTATTTTTTTATATCTTTTTTCTTCTTTTTTTTTTCTCCCGCGCCTCTCCCCCCCAAGGCATTGTGGGTGCGTGCGGAACCACTGGAGGGCGACACCCTGTCTGTCGCTGAGCAGTGAGGGGGGGAGGCGCACTGCTGGGCGGGACAGCCTGTAATACAGCCGCACGAAAATGAATTTTCTTCTTCCCACTCTAGCCTTGGGTGCATGGATTACTGGGTGATTGCAGCCCAGTTGGTCCCGTGCTGCAAAACCTTTAACTCTGGTGTTCCCCTCCCGGGGGCAAACCCAGCCCCCAGCGTTTTCTTCTCTTCCTCTCTCTCTCCCCCCCCCATTCACCGTCCCCCTCAGCGTCTCTCAGCACCTTGGAACCCTCCCCCCATCATCTCACTACTCATCAACTAGGAATTCTCATTTCCATCCCCTAAACCATCCTCTCTTCAGCGGCCACCAGGGTCGTTCTTTCAGAAGACAATCAGAACTCCCGTCCCCTCTCCCCCCATCATACGCCCCCAGTATAGCAGCGCACTTCACTTCCCAGTGCTCGCCTGCTCTTTTATTTTCCGGCCCCATCGCACGCATTCAATTTGCTTGCCTCCCCCCCCCGCCCCGGAAGAGAGACAGCAGAAAAAGATAGCAGTCACTCAGCCACCAGAGGGCAAACCACCACAACACCCCCTGTATCGCGGCCACTAATTATGCCGCGCCCCTCCAAGAAGAGCGCCGACGAAAGGAACAAGGCGCCCGCCACGCTGCCCACTCAGGTCATGATGCCTCACGCCGCTATGCCCCAGGGCATCCCTGGCATGCCTCAGCAGCTTCCTCAGCACCACCAGCAGCACCATCAGCAGAGGCCCGGTGTCCCTCAGCAGCAGCAGCAGCAGATGGCTCAGCAGCAGCCTCCCCAGGTCCAGATGCCTCATCAGCAGCCTCCGCCTCCCGTCGGTGTTCCTACCATGCCTCATCCTGGACGCGTCGTGGATAGCGAGAGCTTTCTGACGGTGCGCGATTCGGTATGTTTTTTTATCATGATAATATCCTGCATTTTCCCCTTCTGTTCCGTTCCCTCCCATCTCATCCGCCATCTCTACTCACTTCACCATCACCATCACCTCTTTCCCAATCATCACCGCCTGGTACTTTTCTGGAAGCTTTCATGAGCTTTTTAAGACAGGAAACCGGCAAGGCTGGAGAGGAAGGAGAGTTGAAATCAATCTTCTTCCATCCTTCAATGCTCTGGCAATTGCCCGCGCTTCTTCCCAACTCACACGCCCATTTACACGACGCGCGCGTCTTTGTTTACACGCGCACCGCGTCAGCAGAGCTCTAGTGGGGCCAGAGCTCCCAGCTCCACCTCGCCTCGTCTTCACACCCATACACCACGTCTCGCAGTAGAGCGAGGAAAGACAGAGAGGAGAGATGCTAACCTGTATAGGCCGTCAATCGCCTCGCCGCCATCCTCGAGCTCCTTCGTTCCTTCACCACCGACTACATCAGGCAGACTAACCTCCTGCTGGGTGAGCCCACCGCCGAGGGAACCCACGGCGACCTGCTATCCAACTTTGAAAATGCCGCCGCCCAGCTCATCAACCCCATGGCCGACCTCGGCCCTCCCGTCGAGGAGAAGAAGGAGCGCAAGAAGCGCACCCACGACCCCAATGCTCCCAAGAGGCCTCTCACCCCCTATTTCCTGTACATGCAGCATGCTCGCTCCATCATTGCCAACGACCTTGGGCCCGAGGCCCCCAAGGGTGCGGTCCAGGAGGAGGGCCAGAGGCGATGGGCGTCGATGAACCCCGACGAGAAGATGGTATGTCCATATGCCACCCCTGGGTCTCTCCTTCCCCCCCCTTCACACGCAGATACTGACCCGACTCTCTAGGGCTGGAACCACGCCTACCAGTACAACCTCCGCCTGTACAATGCCCGCGTGCACTCGTACAAGAGCGGAAACCCCGACGCGAAGAACATGCCCGACGACGAGGCCATGCGCTACGCCGAGGAGAACGACGTGCCCCTCCCCCGTCTCAAGGAGGAGCAGAACTCGTCTCATGCCGCCGCCGCCGCCGCCGCCGCCGCAGACGAGCAGGACGCCATCGCTCAGCAGCTCCAGCAGGTCGCGCAGGCACCCATGCCCACGCTCGCCGACGAGCTCGCCGCCGGCCCGGACCCTTCCAAAACCCCAAAGAAGAACGCCCCCGGCCGCAAGCGCAAGACGGGCGAGATCGACCCTGCGGCCGCTGTCTTGGGGAGCACCATGTCCCCTGCCGGCGCCCCCTCCAGCCCTGACAAGAAGCGTCGTCGCGCCTCGGGGAAGCCCGTCCAGGATATCGAGGAGCCTAAGAAGTCGGGCCGCAAGAAGACTAAGAATTGATGCGGTCTTGTGTGTGTGTGTGTGTGTGTTGCGTTCCCGTGACTAGCTCTCCCTCCCTCTCTTTCTCTCTCTCTCTGAGCCTTTCTTTTCAAATATTCTCTTGATGAAACGGGGGTTTTCTCACTTTCTTTATCCTCTGTGTATCGGTTGTGTTTATTGCTTTTGATATGCCTTCCAGTGTTTTTCTTTTTTTTCTTGCTTTATGGATGAAGGCAAACGGTATGGATTGGAGAAAGGAAAATGTCATAACAGAAAAAAACTACAGAAATATCATAAAAAAAAAGATGAAGATTAAGAAAAAACCACGACTGGTGTGCGTGCGTTATAACGTGATTCATATACAAACTTGTACTCAATTTCTGCATTTATGTATACTCGTAGACGTTGAAACATTGGAAGCCGGGTACAACCGATGATGTACGCGGGACAGATTGGTACGACAAGTAGAGGAAAACATGATAGCTCGAGACGTACATAGAGAGTGGAGGGGTGAAGGAGTCGCAGAGACAGAGAGGCTAGTAGGCAAAATAGGCCTGCGTGAGAGGCAAGCTATCCGACGGCTCAGCCTCGCATACCACCCCGTCCGCCTCGACGGTATAGCTCTCCGGGTCGACCCTCATGCGTGGCTGGGCATCATTGTACTTCATGTGCCTCTTGCCGATGTTCCGACAGCCCCTGACGGCCTCGACGCGGCTCCTGAGGTTGTACGAGTCTATGGCGCCGGACTCGATGCTCGATGCCGACACGAAGAGGATGCTCGTCTGGGGGACAAGAGGGGCGAACATGGGTCTGCCGATGATGGGTTGGATGGTGGGGATGGAAGCGTTGGGGTCGCCCTGTTCAGTCCCAGAAGTCAGTACATGTACATGTATGTACGTACGTAATGAGATGTAACCGAAACGGTTATTTCAAGCTTATTAAACAAAACATGAAGGGGGAGGGGGAGAGAAAAGAGGAGAAAGGAGGAAGAGAGAGAGAGAGAGAGAAGGGAAAGAGTTGAGAAGACAAAAAAATCAAAAGCACATACCATTTGAGCATAAGCTATTATACCGCTCTTTATCACCTGGAAGGGTTTCGTGCCGAACCAGGCAGGATCCCAGAGCACCAGGTCGGCCAGCTTGCCAACCTCTACGCTGCCGATGATGTGGCTGAAGCCCTGGGCGATGGCCGGGTTGACCGTGTACTTTGAGACGTAGCGCTTGACGCGAAAGTTGTCGGCGCCGGAGCCCTGGTCCTCGGGGAGGGAGCCCCTCTGGACCTTGTTCTTGTGGGCCGTGTTCCAGGTGCGCAGGATGACCTCGCCGCAGCGGCCCATGGCCTGGGAGTCGGAGCTCATCATGCTGATGGCGCCCAGGTCGTGCAGCACGTCCTCGGCGGCGATGGTCTCGGCGCGGATGCGTGACTCGGCAAAGGCCACGTCCTCGGCGATGTTCTTGGACAGGTGGTGGCACACCATGAGCATGTCGAGGTGCTCGTCGAGCGTGTTGCGCGTGAAGGGCCGCGTGGGGTTGGTCGACGAGGGCAGCACGGCGTCGTGCTCCACCACCGAGATGATGTCCGGCGCGTGCCCGCCTCCCGCCCCCTCGGTGTGGTACGTGTGGATGGTGCGGCCCTTGAAAGCCGCCAGGGTCGACTCCACGAAGCCGGACTCGTTGAGCGTGTCCGTGTGGATCAGGCACTGCACGTCCAGCTCGTCGCACACGCTCAGACATGCGTCTATCGCCGCCGGCGTGCTGCCCCAGTCCTCGTGGAGCTTCAGCCCGCACGCGCCCGCCCGCACCTGCTCGCGCAGTCCCGTCGCCCCGCTGTCGTTGCCCTTACCGGTGATGCCGTAGTTGAGCGGCAGCGTGTCGCATGCCTGGAGCATCTGCCTCATGTAGTGTTTGCCGGGTGTGCACGTCGTGGCGTTCGTCCCTGCGCTGCATTCGGGTCCAGGTCAGCCATCGTATCCCTTGTTAGCTGCTCCCACACCCCACTTGACCAAGAAGAAGAAGAAGAAGAAGAAGAAGAAGAAGAAGAAGAAGAAGAAGAAGAGGGAGAAGGGCACCGACACTTACCTAGGTCCGACACCGCCACCGAGCATCGTGGTGATTCCTGACGCGAGCGCCTCGTCCGTCTGCTGCGGACAGATGAAGTGGATATGCGTGTCGATGCCGCCCGCCGTGATGATCTTGCCCTCTCCGGCCACGACGTCGGTGCAGCTGCCGACGACCATGTTGGGCGCGACGCCGTCCATGACGTCCGGGTTACCGGCCTTTCCGATGCCGACAATCATGCCGGCCTTGACGCCGATGTCGGCCTTGTAGATGCCTGTCCAGTCAAGGATGATGACGTTGGTCACGACCATGTCGAGCACCTCGTCGTCGGACCGGCCCGAGGCCTGCCCCATGCCTTCTCGCAGCGTCTTTCCTCCGCCAAACTTGCACTCGTCGCCGTACACGGTCAGGTCACGCTCGATCTTGATCCAGAGGTCCGTGGCGCCGAGGCGGACGGTGTCACCCGTCGTGGGGCCGAACATGGTGGCGTAGGCGGCGCGGTCCATGGTGGAGGCGTCGACGAGTGCCGGGCGCGGCGAGTCGTCGGGCGTGTGGGCGAAGCCGGCCTGCTGCAGCTTCAGGACGATGTCGTCCACCCGTCCCAGGTCGACGGGACCCGTGGCGAGGTTGTTACCGCCGCGGATGATCCTGCTGCCGCCGATCTCGACGAGAGTGACCGTCTTTGTGTCTCCCGGCTCGAAGCGCACCGATGTTCCTGCGGGAATGTCCAGTCTGAAACCGTACGCCTTGGCCCGGTCGAAGTCGAGCTGCGGGTTCGTCTCGACAAAGTGGTAGTGCGATCCGACCTGGATGGGACGGTCTCCCTTGCTCGACACGCCCAGGCGGATGCGCTTCCTGCCCTCGTTGATGGCCACCTTTGTGTTCTTGACCACCACCACGGCCCCCGGGACCCGACTCGGCTGGTAGTCATCCTTGTCGATGGCGGGGAAGAGCTCGTCCGCGTTGGCAGGCACGGGAAGGAAGCTCCCGTACAGGGCACGGTCCAGGTCTCCGTCGTCGCTGCTGATGGGGTTGTGCACCGTCACCAGGTACGTGCCCGAGGGGAACGTGCCCTCTACCTGGATCTCGTGCAGGGTGCTGCACACGGAGGGGAGGACGTGACGGCGGCCCAGCATGGTGGCCCCCAGGGACATGAGGTCGGCCACGCTGTGGTTTCCATCGCGGATGAGCTCCTGGAGGTTATTGGCGATGAGGGCCTAGGGTTTGGTGCACCGTCAGCCTTCCTCTCCACGTCTCCACGTCTTTCTTGATGTGGGGGTCCGGGATTGTGAGGAAGAAGGACGTACCGTTGCCTCAGTGTGGTTGAGCCTGACTCCACGTGCTAGTCTCCTCTGAGCGAGGAGGCCCAGCTGCGAGATGACGAGCTTATCGAGCTGTGTTTGATGACGGGTATGTGAGTCGTCACGGACATTGTTGAAGAGAGAGAGAGAGAGAGAGAGAGAAGCGGGAAGCGGGAAGCGGGAAGCGGGGGAGGGAGGGTGGCTTCTTGCCTTACCTCTCTGGGGACCAGATGCATGGCTCAGACACGGAAATGGAGATGATGAGTATGATGATATACTAACGCTCCTGATAGTAATCCGGGGTATGTCGCATGCAGTTGCGAATTAATAGGAGAAAAAGGGACGGAGATCTGGGGTCTATCGCTTTGAAGCTACCGAGATAGTGAGCTTGAGTTAGATCGATAAAACCTGCCATCCCACCATCCCCGCCTCCGCCGTCGGCCGCATGCGATAAGGACGACGCCAATGGGTATCTACTCGTACCATGTCGACCCATCGGCTCGACGGCCCATTCGTCCTCTTATTATTTCCTACCTACGATCTACTCGATTATACTCTCCGTCTCTTATCCTGTGGACATCTTTTTCTCCTTCTCTTGATGATATGCACACCTACAGCCCTGTATCAGGGACGACAGCTGAGTGGGCCGCTGCCGCATTTACATTACACATACAATGACCAACCCGACCATCTCGACATGTTTGGGGCATGGTCATTGGATGTAGCGAGTGTTACGAGTAGCAGGTATCGATGTCGTACATGCGGTACCACATAATGATACTAGTTGTCATGATTCTCGTAGTATTGCTACTCCGTATCGATACTTCCTGTAATAAGACGCTCGTTCCAATCATGCATAGTGATATATATCTGGCATAACGATGTGAAAGAAGAACCATGAGAACCATAGAGAAACCATGAAAAAAACCACCCGCCCCCTTATCTAGTGAGAGGAAAAGAGAAGGAAAAGAAACACTAGAGACGCCTTCGACATGTACCGGATCTGAATTTGGCATAAGAAACTCCTACTCATCGTCCTCAAGCTCCTCATCCCACTGCTCCTTCTCCTTCTTCAGCAGCCCTGCCATGTGTTCCGGTCTGAAGATGAAGCTGTCCGGGTCAGTCTCGCGGGGCACCTTGCCAACCATCTCGTCGGTAAAGATGCCTCCGATGGTGCGGATCCACTTCTTGCGTCGCTCCATGAGCGTCCTGGTCAGGTCGCCTATGCCGGGCCGGGCCGTACCCGCAGCGCCCGCACCGCCTGCGCCGACGAAGTGGCTGCCTCCGCCGGCACCTCCGGGACGCTTGGCCTTCTTGCTCTTGCCCATGGTGCGCGTGCGCTTTGTGTATGCGGCTTGTACCTGCGTGTCCAGGTCCTCGAGGATGGTCGAGTACTCCTGGTGCGCCATGCGCTCGCGCACAATCTCCATCAGCCGAGCCTTACGCGCCCCGTTGATGAGCACCTGCTGTCGGAGCCGCTCCTGCAGGAACCGCAGCCGGCCGGCTACTTCGTCGTCGTACGCACCGTCGTAGTCGGCCTCGGCACCGTCCTGCGCCGCGAAACCCAGGAACCGCAGCTCTTGCTTCAGGCGCTCATCCACCTGCTGGTAGTCCAGCTTCGGGTACGTCGCCTTCTTCCATGCCTCCGTCGTCGACTCGGGCATGAATGCTGCGGGCGATAGCGGCCTCTCTTCCCCGTTGCCGTTGACGGAATTGCCGTTGACCCCGTTTGCCTCGTCGCCCTGCGTGTCTCCGTTCATCGGCACGTCGCCATTGGCCAGGCCGTTGGCCCCCGGCCTGTCCTCCGATTGTGTCCGGTGCTCCGGCCGCAGAGCCTGCAGCAGCCTCGAAGCCAGGGGGCCGATAGAGAGCCCGTCTGTCTCCGCTACCGTGTCGTTCATGTTCTCGATAGAGCCGCGTGGCATGTTGGGAGGGAGCTTGTCGGCAGCTGTGTCCATCGCATCGGCCCCATCTTCCTCGTCCCAGATCTCGCTGTAGTGCCGCTTGCCCCGCTTAGGCATGACAAACGGGGTCACCCGGTCGCCGCGCTCGCGCAAAAAACCGATGTCCTCTTCGGTAAACGGTCGGAAATAGGGCTCAATGTACGACGCAAATGTCGTGAAGTTGATCTGACTCGTCGGCTTCGCGTTGCTGAAATCCCTATCCGGAGGATCGCCGGCAATCAGGTGTGCCAGGTCGCTGGACGGGTAGCGTGCTACCGAGTATATCTCCTTCTTCTCCTCGTCCGACATGCCGGGATGTACTTGTCGTATCTCGTATACGGTTGGGTCGTCGAATGTTGACGGGTCTTCGCCAAAGGTCTGATGTTGGGGCATTTCGCGCCGCGGCGGCGCCCCATCGTCGTCGGAGCTGGATTCTTCCTCCTCCCCCCCCTCGGCATCCTCCTTCTTTGGTTTCTCGTCGACCTCCATAGCGGCCGAAGGGGATCCGTTCGCCGCGGGAGACAGTGACGAGCTAGCCGAGTCTGCGCGCGAACGTTTCCGCTTGCCATCTCCGCTTGGTGACGATCGGGCTTATGGACGATGTCGGTCAGTTTCTCGAATTGACTCTGGTGTAAATCTACTACAGCCTTTCCTCAGAGGGACATACCGTGACCACCTGAATCGGGAGGAGCTAATGAATCCGAGGCCTTCTTGCGTTTGTGCTTGGACCGGCGCACTTCTTCTTCGCCGGTGTAGTCGTCGGGACGCTTCTTACGCTCGTCCGCGAGGAAGCGCATACCCCGGTCGTAGAAGTTCGAACGCTTCTCCATGACGGAAACCATCTCCTTGAGCTTGGCGAGCATAGCGTCAATGCTGCGGGAGTCGGGCACTGTGGCGCTGGATGCGCCCGAGTCGACGAGGTCATCGTAGCTTAGTGTATTTTGGAATACGATGACCCTCGTGTTGAGAAAGTCTGGGTCGTATGGCTCTTGTGGGGGGAGACTGGCAGTAGGCGGTGGGACGGGAGTCGACGTGCGGCTCTGCTTGGCCATGGTGGCGCCACCCTTCTTCCCAGTACCCTTTTGGCTGGCTCCGGACGGCATGATGGCGAGGCGAACAAGCGCGTCCGCGGGGGGCGACAACTTGACACGGCGCTGGCTCTCCTTTGTCCTATAGGTGTATCATATGGGGTGAGATCAGGGGTTTGATGGTATGAGTCGTGTGCAATGATGGTGTTTGGCGTTTGGTGATGGTGAGAGCTGTGCTCCTGGCGTCGGCGGTTTGCCTAGAAGAGCGCATCAGATGAACGCGCTGCTGACAACCATGACGCCAATGGGGCGTATTGTGGGGGAATGAATGCGGGGAAAGGATATTCCGAGCCCGGGTCCCTTGCGCTCTCAGTCGAGGCAGGTACCCTCTGGTAGCTCCTGCCAAATTGAGCATGGCAATTCAGCATTGTGCTCTCTCTGTCTTTCTCCCAGCCCTTTGGCCTTCTTTTCTCTCACTTTCCCATCATCTTCACCAGAACGATACTCTGGCAATATGAGGTGGTGCGACTGTCGATGTTCCCGGTAGGAGACGCAAGTTCTACTCCCGACGACCCTTTTACCTGAGTACCAAAACCTTTCTATCGGTTACGGAAAAGGCTAGGGCCTCTGTGTGGCATAACCGGAATTGCTCTCTGCACGATTCACGCGAATCTGTTGTTTTTGTTGCTGACCGGCTAGGACAACCTGTAATGCCTCGGCGTTCATGTACCGACTTGGGCCGTAGGGAGACGAGTCAACAGCAGTCACGAGGACCATTGACCACGCCTTGTGAGTCTCGCCGCCCGCGCATCAGGTGCTGGGTACTACGATGTGCATTCTCTTGAGGCCACATGCTCTGTGTTGTCTTCCTGCGAGCCTCTGACAATGATGGGGTTCCTTATGTGACCCTTGGATGCTCCATGTGCTGGCCAGGACCCATCCGATTGGTACTCCGGATTACAGGACGGGGCTAAATTGATGGGGACCGTCGCCGCACCGAATGTGTTCAACAACTACGACGGTGCTACGTAACTGGCTTTGAACCATCAATCGACGAGACCCTGCATCTGAAGTCGATAGGCCATTGACGTGAGCTCCCCTGACCGCCTGCACCAATTCGAAAGAGCCAGGTATGCGCCAGACAAGAAGATGGAGTGAGGGGGGGGTGAGAGGGGCTAACTAACATCCACCATGATCCAACCCCTCATCCCCTTGGGTCTCTCCCTCTCATTCTCTCGTCCATCCACTTGGATGTACCCCTGAACTACCTCTTTAGAGCCACGCCCGAGACGACAACAAGCTCGAGCATGTGCCCCAGCCATTGGCTCACGTACTGCCTAGACGCGGGGTCTGTTGATCTCGTAGCTGTGAGTGCGGCTTTGCTATACACGGTGGGGGCTTGTAGCCTTGCCGGCTTGCCCCAACCACCCTCTCTCCTGATGGCCGATAGACAGCCGAATACTATGTCATGTACGTGATGAGACATGGTTCAGCTGGCAGGCCACTCAGCAGGATGCCGGAGGGCAGGCAAGTACATGTAGAAACGTCTGGAGGCAGAACTAAACTGCTATATTACTCGCGCTTCCCCATGTATGTGCAGCCGAATCAATGGCCCCTTTCTTCTCTTCTTCTTTTGCTGTCATATTGTGTCGTTTCTGAACTGTTACGAGCGTCTTCAACATAGCGCCCGTTTCTTTCAACAATACTACACCTCGTACCCTGTTGTATAACATGAGAGAGTACCATGGCTTTTCCTGTATGCCTAAACACTGCTGCACTCCTCCTCTACTCGCCCTCCCCCCGTCTCCTCGTCCCCTACCCGGACGACAGTGATTGCTGACGGAGTGCATGCTGCTCTCACTAGGGTGGTAACGTTTTGCCCTTTGGCAGTGACGTACAACCTCTTTACGCTGGAATAGCAGTTGCCATCATCGGCGGTCTCTGCATCTCCAAGATCTCCAGCAACAGGTCGGACAAGAAGAATGACGAACCCAACGGACTGATCAGTTCCTTCTTCCTCTTCTTCTACTCGTCCTTCATAAAGCCCCACCAACCCGACAAGGGCAACCAGCGGGATGCCCTCGAGAGCTTCTACAAGAAGCAAGCTGGGGCATATGATTCCACGCGCAAATACCTTCTCCGTGGCCGTGAAGACATGCTTGCCCTTGTCTCGGCTCAGCTCAAGGCTAAGCTAGAGGCTTCCGGAAAGGAGAATGAGAGCCAGAAGCGCATTTGGATCGACGTAAGTGGCCTCCTATCCCACTACGAGAGCTTCCTGGAAGAACCAGATCAAGCTATAGAGAGAGAGAGAGGGACGGAGAAAGAAACGGGGGGGGGGGGGGATAAAAGGGAAAGAAAATACTGACAAGCCGCCTCTAGATTGGCGGGGGTACTGGCTGGAACATCGAGGCCATGTCCGAGTTCGTCAATGTCCCCGAATTCTTCTCCAGCATCTACCTTGTCGACTTTTCTCCCTCGCTCTGCGAAGTGGCCAGGAAGCGTTTCGGGAGACTTGGCTGGAAGAACGTCATCGTAGTCTGCGAGGATGCGAGGAAGTTCCGCCTCGAGGACTACGAGCCTGACATTGCCATCGCTGAGCACCTCTTGCAATCCCCGTCTCTAAGCTACCTCAAGCCGCGTCCCGAGCACGGCGGCGCCGACCTCATCACCATGTCTTATAGTCTTTCCATGATTGTAAGTCGCATAGCCCCTGTTCATGCGGTTGTGGGCCGACACGCAGACTAACGCCTGCTGCGTTACTCAAGCCCGACTACTACTCCGTCGTCGACTCCGTCGCGTCTCTGCTGTCTCCTCACGGTATCATGGGTGTCGTCGACTTTTACGTGCAGAACAAGGCGGATTTCGCCTTCCGCAACTATACCGGAGGTCTTGTGGACCGTCATGTCAACTTCATGCCTCGAAGCTTCTGGCGTTCGTGGTTCGACCTTGACCGTGTCGGTCTGGAGTCCAGCCGCCGCGACTATCTCGAGTACAAGTACGGAACGATTCTCAACTTGAACCAGCGCAACAACTCTCTGGGCTTCATCCCCTACTACGTGTGGGTTGGATGCCACAGGAAGCCCTTCTCATCCTCCAGCCTGCCCCACGAGATTGTCGAGCGCATCGACGCCTTGGCCACCGAGTCGCCCTACTTGTACCCCATCAACCCTGCCAAGCAGGGTGATGCTCTCACACGCGCTATCGAGCGATCTGCTCCCGAGATTCGGTCCAAGGCCTTCCTGACGGCCGTGTCCAACCTGTCTGCCAACCTGCCTCTTCCGGCCTTCTTCTACCAGAATCACCACTGGCGCATCTACTACGATGACCAGCTTCAGAAGCACAAGCAGTTCAACGACGAGTACATCTACGCCTTTACCTGGGAGGACACACGTGTTGACGAGAGGATCCTCAACCTCGGACCCGACGACAAGGTGCTGGCCATCACTTCTGCCGGTGACAACATCATCTCGTACCTGACGCAGAGCCCTGCCCGCGTCCACGCTGTCGACCTGAACCCGACCCAGAACCACCTGCTCGAACTCAAGGCCGCCTCGTACGTCGCCCTGCCCTACGAGGACTTCTGGTGCATCTTTGGCGAGGGCAAGCACCCGGACTTCCGCAGGCTGCTCATCACAAAGCTCTCCCCCCACCTGTCCAGCCGTGCCTTCCAGTACTGGATGAAGAACAGTCACGTCTTCCATAACAACAGCGGCTACGGCCTGTACGACACCGGAGGTTCCCGACACGCCATCCGCGTCTTCCGATGGGTTTCGCGCATCTTTGGTCTCCAGGGCGTCGTCAGGAAGATGCTTGATGCCCCCACGCTCAATGAGCAGCGTGAGATCTGGCGCGGCAAGATTCGCCCCGCCCTTTTGTCCAAGATGGTATGCGATCTGGTTGTTTCGCAGGAGTCGTTCCTCTGGAGCGCCTTGGGCGTTCCTAAGAACCAGCTGGCCATGATCGAGGCCGACCACGCCAAGTCCTCCGTTGTGTGCGGGCCCAACCCAACGGCCAAGAAGTCACGCTCCCACGCCATCTGGCACTACATGGTCAACACTCTGGACCCCGTGGCCGAAGAGACGCACATTGCCAGGGACAACCCCTACTACTACGTCACGTTGGCCGGCCAGTTCTCGCCCAAGTGCCAGCTCGACTACCTGACGCCCCAGGCACACGCCAAGCTGTCGCGCCCCGGCGCCCTGGATGGGCTGCGCATCCACACCGATGAGCTCGAGGAGGTCATCTCGCGCATCATGCCGGGCACCTTGACTGTCGCCGTCATCATGGACAGCATGGATTGGTTCGACAAGGGTTCGTCCGCGGCGGCCGCTCAGATCAGCAAGCTCAACCGCGCCCTCGCCATGGGTGGCCGCGTCCTCCTGCGCACCTCGGCGCTCGAGCCGTGGTACGTCGAGGTCTTCAAGGCTCACGGCTTCGAGCCCAAGTGCCACGGTTCCCGCACCGACGGGGCCTGCATCGACCGCGTCAACATGTACGCCAGCTGCTGGGTCTGCACCAAGATGGCCAACCTCGCTCCCCCTACTCCCGAGATGGACTCTATCACCGGTTCCGAGATGCCGTCTCTGACAATATAAGCCTCGAGGTCCATCACCTCGCAGAATCTCTCATCGACCCTCAAAGTCTCACGCACAAAAGGACAGCGGAGGGTGACCGTTCAAACGTTTGCCACTCATGGGCTTGGGTGTACAATCAGATGTCGAGCCACGGTGAAGGACCACACAGATATTCACCTGTACAACCAAGGGGTGTTGTAAGCTCCGCCAAAGATAGCTGGGGTGTGAAGGGGGACCCAGATAGCAGATGACGTACCCAATATAAGTGACAACCGATACCGCAGTGTAAGAGGATGATTTCGAGAGAAGGGACTAATGAAAAAGGGAAGAAGAGAATTGAATTCCCCCACACGTAGAGCAAGCCCGTTGTGCGTAAAGTGATTTCAAACATGTTAAAAAAATAAACAAGGTATGTATTGACCCTAAATGTACCGACAAAGAAAATGAAAGAAAATCTATACAGGCTGTATTCACAGCAGCTTCGTTCAAGCCTTTCATCCTGCGCCCCCCCTCCCCCTCTCTTGCATCTCGAGGGGGAAATAAGAGAGTGTGTAAAGTTGAATGTCGAGAATGAGGACATAACAACAATGGTGGTTTCATCATCCATGACTGACTGATGCCTTTTGGTTATTTTTTCCCCCCTCTCCTCTTTCATGATTTATAACTCGATTGACTTCTCCCCCCCTCCCCCCCTCCTCCTCCCCAATGTTGCCCTCCCGGGAAGATTAATCTATGCCTTCCAAATACGCTTGATAGTCTCGGTGACACCGACATCGTTGGTCTCAAACTCGTACAGACTGACACCGACAAGGAGGGTGGCGGCGTTGAGACTCCACCAGAGGAACTTGCGCAGGTTGGGAACCTGGGCCTTGGGGAAGTAGTCGATGATGACAGACTGGAAGCCCATGTGGGAGTGGATGAGGACGGTGCCGCAGAGGAGGGCGTCGAGGGTGGGGTTGAGTGAGCCGGCGGCGAAGGGGGCCACGCTGAGGGGGACAAGACCGGCGGCCAGGAGGCGCTCGAATGCCCAGTGGTAGGAGCCGTGGGTGGCGTCGGGGGGAGGAACAGGGGCAGGGTCGTTGACTGTGATTAAAGAAGGGTTAGCCGTTTTGGTGGGTTACGGAACGATGCAAATATATATATATATATATATTCAGTTGATTCGACCGGGAGTTTGCGCGCGAGCGCACTCAGCAAAGGGAGGGGGGATAGGAGGAGGAGACATACCACCGCCGATAATCCGTTCTGTTCTCAAAGTCAGTAAAATTGTATGTATGAACATCAGAGGGCGCGCATGATGAGACTAACGAGGACCGGGTGGGATAATGGCCGAACGCCTAGCGGACGTGTGGAAGGCTGTGGCAAAGGCGCTGCGTGACACACCGGCTGAAGAGCGCAGCAGGGTGGCGGGACGGACGATTGAGGAGGCCATCTTTGCGTGTGTGCGTTTGTGCGTGTGTGTGTGTTTGAAGGAGACGGAGCAAGAACACGTTTATGTGGTGGTTTTGGAAATCCCGACGAGAAGAAGGATGTCGTCGGGGAAGGCAAGGAAAGGGAACTGTCAGATGTTGAACGGAGAGACCAAGAGAGACCAAAAGCACAATGAGGTATTGCCGAGGATCTGGGATAATCAGCGTCTCGCCATTCGTCAGTCCCATCCCGAAGGGACCCATCTGCACAGGAACTGTCGGGTCGCAGTATCATTCTTCCGAACTACCATCCTGGGCTTTTCTGATTGGCTGTTTATTTCGAGATGGAGCTTCGCTCAAACTGGCTGGACCCTTTTTTTTCCCCTACGGAGTACGTGGTCTGTGCTTTGGGGGAGGGAAGAGAAAGATACTTACTAGTACTGTCTTGTCTCTGTCTTCATCTCAACGCGTCTGTGCTCTCCCCCGACAACGACAACGACATTCGACATGGCCCCGCGAATGGCGATGCGCAGCTTAGCTGCTCGGAGATGCACAAACTGTCTCGTCGCCGGACGATACCCCGGTGGCAGCATCAGGGGCATCTCGACGACGTACCTCGACAAGGTGGACGAGGGTGAGAAGCGCTGGAGGGAGCGCGCGGAGAAGATTCAGAGTGGCGAGCTGCCTCATGTATGGGACCTCCTGGCCGAGCGTGGCTATATAAAGGACGTGGCAGGGTAGGCCATCTTCACCGACAAGTTCTCTTATCCTTGCCTCTGACACTGGACCGGACTGACAAGATGAGAAAGAAACCCCGACAAGATTAAAGAAGTCATGCGCATCAAGCGCATGGGCGCCTACGTCGGAATCGACCCGACGGCCGACTCGATGCACCTCGGCCACCTCTTACCCTTCATGGCCCTCTTCTGGCTCTGGTTCCACGGTCACCCGGCCGTGCTGCTGCTGGGAGGCTCGACGGCCAGGATCGGCGACCCCACGGACCGTCTGGAGAGCCGCGAGATTCTGTCCAACGCCGCCATCAGCAAGAATATCACAAAGCTTCACTTCCAATTATCGCGCCTGTGGACGAACGTCGTCCACCTGCGCGACAAGTACGGCTACCAGGACGATTGGGCCGCCAAGAAGAACCTGCTCAACAACAACATGTGGCTGGGTAACTTGACCCTCTATGACTTTAGCAAGAGACTGGCACGACACATGCGTATGGGACCTATGCTCAGCCGTGAGACGTACGTCTTCTCCTTCCCTCTCCTTCATCCCTGCCCCTCCCCCCTCTTTCCTCGGGTCTTCTGGTGCGCTTATGCCAGAGAGAGAGAGAGGAGAGAGAGAGAGACAAGAGAGAGATAGCAGACTGACAGAAGGACAAAATTTCAGTGTCAAACGGAAAATGACAGAAGGTGACGGCATGTCCTTAGGAGAATTCATGTACCCTCTCCTCCAGGGCTGGGATTTCTGGCACCTGTACAGCAAGCAGGGCGTGCAGATGCAGATTGGCGGGTCCGACCAGTACGGCAACATCGTGTCAGGCATCGAGGTGCTCAAGACGGTCCGCAGCACCGAGGAGGCACCCCACTTCGCCATGCCGACGGACTGGAAGAACGAGCCGTTTGGCTTCACGGTGCCGCTCCTGACGGACTCCTCGGGCGCCAAGTTTGGCAAGAGCGCCGGCAACGCCATGTGGCTGGACGAGTACAAGACGTCGCCCTTTGACCTGTACGGGTACTTTATGCGCCGGCCGGACGAGGAGCTGGACAAGCTCCTGCGCCTCTTCACCTTCATGCCCACCTCCCAGATCGAGCAGATCATGGCCGAGCACCGGGCCGACCCGGCCGCCCGCGTGGCCAACCACCACCTGGCCTTCGAGGTGCTCTCGCTCGTGTACGGGTCCCAGCGCGCGCTGCAGGAGGCCCAGCAGCACCAGTTCCGCTTCGGCGGGAAGCTGCCCCGCATCGTCAAGGAGCCCGTTGCCGAGACGGGCATCGTGACGCCCAACACCGCCCCCCGCGCCGATATCAAGCTACCCCGCTCCGTCATCGACATGTCCCCCGCCAAGATCCTCTTCGCCTGCGGCCTCGCCTCGAGCGCCAGCGACGGCCAGCGCCTCGTTGCCAAGCAGGGTGCCTACGTCGCCGGTCAGCCCGGTCAGGACCGCGGCCTCGTCCCCGGAAACCTGTCCTGGACGCCCATGAAGATGTGGTTCCCCGGTGACACGGCCAAGTTTGTCATTGACGAGAAGATCCTCATCCTGCGCAAGGGCAAGCACAACGTCCGCATAATCGAGCTCGTCACCGACGAGGAGTGGAACGAAAGCGGCAACGTCTACCCCGGCCAACCCTTCACCGGCACCCTCCGCCGCGTCGTCCAGAAGATCAAGGAGGAGGCCGCCGCGAGGGGGGAGGAGCTGACGGATACCGAGATTCGCCGTATGCTCAAGGACTCTCAGGACTCCAAGTCGACTCGTGTCGCCAACAACCCGGGCATTGAGCTGCCGTCCAAGGCCGAGATGCGTCAAAAGAAGCAGAAGAGGACTGGAGCTTAAGCCCGACGAGAAGAGGGTGTGACGAAAGAGACTAAGAAAAAAAGGGGGGGGGACTAGGAGTCAACGGAAATCTCCTCCCCCCTGTGTAACAATTATCTGATTAGGATTTTACTGTGGGGGGTTTTTTTGGTGGTTGAGGGCTTCATTGTTGTATAATAGTTGTAAATGATTCAATAGCCGCTATATGTACATTAGAGGAGTAGGGATGAAGAAGAAGAAAACGAATACGATCATTATAGGATACCATGCCATCATCGATAGAAGAGTGCTAGATCCCCCTTAGGGACAGGCAGAGTCTTGAGCTTCTCCATGATCTCGTCGTCGGTGAGGTGCTGCTCCGTGACAATCTGATCAAAGTGATGGCAGCCGTCGGTGTACTTCTGAAGAGGGTCGCCCCCCTGGACGGGCCGCGACTGCCCCGAGGCGAGCGAGGCGAGGTACTGCTTGGAGACGACGTACTTGTGGACGCGGTAGAGACAGCCCTTGATGAGGCCGAACTGGATGAAGCGGCGGACATCGATGAGGCGGAGGACGTCGAGGCCGGCCTCGCGGTGAGACCAGAGCCATTCGAGGACTGTCCGGCCCGGGACGAGCGACGCCATGAGCCGGATGAGGTGATAATTGTCGGGACGGCGGGCGGCCGTGTGCGAGACGTAGCCGGCACACTCGTCCACCATGCCGTCGACGTTGCGGATAAAGTCGTGGATTCCAGGGCGGGGGGCGTAGCAGGCCGAGAAGAAGAACATGTCGAGGAGGATGATGGTGTCGTAGTACAGCAGGTGGCGGAGCGCGGCCTTGGCCAGGTCCAGAGACACCGAAGCCGCGTGGGCGATGCGCCGCACATCCGACACCCCGTCAATGTGCGAGATGACTTTCTGCATGGTCAGATCCCAGGTCGGATCGACAATCTCGGAGAACTTGGTCTTGGACACGGGCACGTGCCAGCCCTCGACGGCCGGGGGGTTGCCGTGATGGGGAAAGAGTTTCATGTTGATGGTATTAGCTTCGTCTGTTTGTCCGTGTCAGCCTCGTAACATTGTGGTCAGGGAAAGCCAGAGAGAGAGGAAGGGAGGGAGAGAAGGGGGGGGGAGCGAGGGGAGCATACCAACAGGGATCATGCATTCGCCATAGTTGTTGAGGTCCTCCTTGACAATCTCGAGCAGCCCCTCTATGGGCCTTCTCTCGCCGTCGCCACCGGGGAGCTCCACCACGGTTGCCTCGTTCTGGCTGAGATACTCGTTCTGCTTCTCCATCTCGGCAAAGGTCGTTGCTATGCGACGCACGACGGGCTCGTAGGGGAGCTGGTCCACGTCGGACTCGACAATCAGGCCGAAGTTGAAGATGAACTCGTTGCGCTTGTACTTGGAGTGGGGGATCACCACCGGGTATCCGAGGACCGTGTACTTGCCATCGGGCGAGTTGATGGTGATGTAGCGGTTGCAGAAGGCCTGGCGCGGGATGATGTACTCCTGGAGGACATCAAAGTCGACGAGGGGAGGCCGCGCGGCGGCGGCGGTGGTGGGAGGGGGCACGCCGGGGCCGTCATTGTGGAGGATGTGGTGGTTACTCTTGGCGCTGTGGGTGTTGGCCGTGATGCAGCCTGAGGGTGACTGCGCGACGATCCTGGGTCCTGTGGCCGCGGAGTCATAAGTCCATGCTGTCCCTGTTTGGAGGATCGGAGGAGGTAGCTGTCTCGTAATACTTACCCTCTTCGGGGAAGAAGCGTGCGTAAAATATGCCTTGGATCATGATGGCCGTGGCATGCTGGTGTTTGGCTACGATGGCGGGGTAGTCGGCGTTCTTCTCATACTGCTATTACTACGTATCAGCAGCTCAGCAAAGTCGGAGTCTCCGGTCTCCTGCGTTCTTCCCTCGTCTATGGGGAGGGGAGGCAGATGAAGATGTGGAAAGGCTCCTCCCTTGTGAACTTGTCCCATAGATGATGGTCTGTACATGTACAGATTACATGCACGCTATCAGTAGGGGCAGGCAAGCGTGATATCATTGTAAAACACCAGGCGAGAATATGGCCAAATACATCACCGGTCCTATGAGACGGGTTTCCTGAATAAATGGTACGTAACCCGTCAATGTATCGACGCGGCATGGTATAATTTATCAATCCTCTCTTCTTGTCCCGTGATTGAGTGGTCGACTGTGTTTTCGCAGAATCGGATGGACGTCCGTCGAAGACTATAGGGTAAGCTAACGGGACAAGAAATATGCGCGGCAAGGAAGGAGCGACCCGAGAGAACATGACAGACTGACAGCATTTTCCTCTTTTCTCCTCTCCTCCTCCTTCTTCCTTTTCTTCTTCTTCTTCTCATTCTTGTTGTTGATCTCTGTTCGACTGCATATGCATCCGAGTTTTCCCTATTCTTGTGCGACGCCCCAATCATCCATTACAGCGCACGATTTCTCGGCTTCAATTGCAAGCCATTGAGAGCGGGTGGCTGCAAGTATCTAGAGTAATAGATATTACTCGTACGGAGTACAGATTAGTATCACAGACCTTGGGAACGCACCGTAAAAGCTCCACTGGCCAGTGACGCCGCCGCCCCGCCACCCTGCTGCCCCTCCCCATCCACTCATCTGCCGCTGTCTGGTCTGACAAGTCCGCCGGCCCCTACGACAGTCTACGGGCAGTTCTATCTGTTGCAGGTACTATCACTGGCCTCAGTCTATCCTGTGAATCTTGACTCGACAGCGAGACTTTCCAAAGTCGACCGACGAACCCTTCTCCCCTCCCCAACTCCGATATACACTCAACCGACGACCAGCACGCAGTCGACATGGCCGACAACGCCGATTCGAGCGGCGACGCTCAGATTACCTTCAAGGTCAAGACGTCAGGCGACAGCACCCACACCATCACCATGGCCGAGTCGGCTACCGTCCAGGAGCTCAAGAACAAGCTTGCCGGCGACGATTACGAGAAGATCCCTGCCGAGCGCCAGCGCCTCATCTACTCGGGCCGCGTGCTGAAGAACGACGACACCCTGGCCACCTACAAGATCAAGCCCAACAACACCATCCACATGGTCAAGAGCGCTGCCAGCAACCCGTCCCAGACTCCCAGCACCGGCACGCCGGTCCCGCAGGCCGTGCCTTCCAACATGGCCTCTGGTACGGCCAACAATCCCCTCGCCGGCCTTACAGGCGCTCGCTTTGCCGGCCACCAGATGAACCTTCCGGGAATGGACATGTTCGGACCCGATGGAGGCGTAAGTTTTCTCTCTCTCTCTCTCTCTCTCTCTCTCTCTCTCTCCCCCTTCTCTCTCCGTATCACAAGACCTCCATTCGCCCGTCGCCCGGACACGTACTGACAGACGAGATCGACAGATGGGACCACCCATGGACGAGGAGCGCCTGCAGCGCATGATGGAGGACCCCAACGTCCAGCAATCGATGAACGAAGCCCTCAGCAACCCTGACTTTGTCAACATGCTCATCCAGTCGAACCCGATGCTCCGCAACCTCCCCAACGCCCGCGAAATCATCACGTCTCCCTTTATGCGCCAGATGATGACGAACCCGTCCATGATGAGCCAAGCTATGCGGATGCAGCGTAGCATGAGTGGCGGGAACCCGGCCTTCCCCGCTCCGGGAGCCACCGATACGACGCCGTCGGGCGCCCCCTCCAGCAACGAGCAGGGTCAGCAGCAGCAGAACCCGTTCTCGAACCCGTTCGTGCCATTTGGCGGGATGGGCGGCGCAGGGGCCAATGCGATGCCTGACCCGGCACAGATGGCCCAGCAGCTGCAGTCGCTCCAGTCCCTCATGGGTGGCTTGGGCGGCTCCTCCGGTGCCGGCAACGCGGGCGACGCGACCTCGACCTCGACCTCGGGGGTTGATGCGACACAGCAGCAGCAGCAGCAGCAGCAGGGCAACCAGGCAGCAGCCAACCCATTTGCTGCCCTGTTTGGACCTCCCGGCGGCGGTCTGGGCGGTATGGGCGGCGCCGGCGGCGGCCAGGCCAACAACCCGTTCGGCATGACGCCCGAGATGATGCAGCAGATGATGCAGATGATGGGCGGAGCCGGTGGTGCGACGCAGTCACCGCCCGACAACCGACCTCCCGAGGAGCGTTACGAGGACCAACTGCGTCAGCTCAACGACATGGGCTTCTTCGACTTTGACAGGAATGTGGCGGCGCTGAGGAGAAGCGGAGGAAGCGTACAGGGTGCCGTCGAGTACCTGTTGAGCAACTGATGGAGCGGACGGAGAGAGAGAGAGAGAGAGAGATGGGGTCTCAAGTAGGAGAATTGGTTTATTGATTCCGCATTCTTCTACCATACCAATAACTCATCGGATGTTACATTATCAGGAATTTGGCTGTGTGGAAGAAAAGGGAGCAACTGTGGCATCGTGCTTTTTGAAGAGGGCATCATCGACGATTCTAGCACGAGGCAGAAATACATGCATCGCGATGAAGTCCACTGCAGCCTGCTAGTCACTGTAAAATATACTAGCAGTAATGATTGGCATCACGTCGCAGTGCTAAGCAGTAGTATTTGGCCACTCTGCCGTAGACTCCGTGGTGGTGCCACGGTGCCACGGTGCCACGGTGCCGATGGAGGTATTATTGTGGTAATGATATCATGTACGTACTCTCCAGTCTTGCTCAAAGCTGGGGAACCCCGGTCAGCCAAAAAAGTCGAGCGGAGAAGGGACTCAGGGAGGGAGAGGGAGCCTCGGCATCTCCAAGGAACGAAGAGCCGAGCGGACCACAGTCGTCATCTCATCCAACATCGACACGGACACCGCAGTCTCACCGATCAACGTATAGTGCATGAAGGTCTCAACCGCTGCACCTGATTGATCGATATACGCACATCATCCTGAAAAATTTCCTCATTCCACAATCTGAACAATCGAACTAACTCATCATGCGCGGCATCCAGGTCAAGCAATACGTCAAGGTATGCTAGTCTCTGAGCCTCTCTCTCCCTTCCACGACCCTATATTAGTACTGCCTCTTCCCTACGGCGGCCTCGAAACGAATGGTTTCGTTGCTATCTTGAAGAAGAAGGAGGAGGAGGAGGAGGAAGAGGAGGAGGGGAAAGAAAGGAAAAAAAAGAAAAAAGGAAGAAGACTTGAAAACAACAACAACAATATCCAAACTGAACTGACAATCATAAAAGGGCCCCCAGGACCTCACAGTCACGGATCTACCTGAACCCAAGCCCGAGAGCAACGAGTACCTGATTCAAGTGCACGCCGCCGCCACCAACTTTTTCGACATTCTTCAAGTTCAAGGGAAATATCAGCATCAGCCTCGTACGTCCAACTCATCCCCGAGCTCTAATCAGATTTTGGTGGGGGTGGAATGGGAAGAAATCTGATTGAACTGGCCGACTTTCTAAAACAACAACAACACAGCTTTCCCATGGATCGCGGGAATGGAATTCGCCGGCACAGTCTTGTCTGCACCTCAGACGCAAGGACAAGGACAGCCGGCCAGGTTTCCCGTGGGAGCACGCGTCTTCGGTGCCTCCCAGGGTGCATTCGCCACGAGGGTGTGCGCGGCCGAGGCCAACCTCCTCCCCGTTCCCGACGGGTGGTCTTTCCAGGAGGCGGCAGGGCTCTTCGTCACGGCACCGACGAGCTACGGTGCTCTCGTCGTGCGCGCCGGCATCAAGAAGGGTGACGTTGTTCTCATCCACGCTGCAGCAGGTGGAGTTGGACTCGCAGCTGTTCAGGGTACTTTCTTTCCTTCTCTCCTCACCCTCTCCCCACTCCCTCCCTCCCTCCCTCTCTATATATACGATACTACCATCGCTCGGGATGAGAGATTCGCTAACGCCCCTCACCCATCACCCCCTCACCCCTCGCCAAAAAGTGGCCAAGGCTTTCGGTGCAACAGTCATAGCGACGGCCTCGACTGCCGCGAAGCTCTCCGTGGCCCGCAAGTTCGGCGCCGACCACACGGTCTCGTACGACGACGGCTCCTGGCCCCAAAAGGTCAAGGATCTCACACCCGGCCGGAAGGGAGTCGACATAGTCTACGACCCCGTCGGCCTGGTGGACGCCTCGACAAAGTGCGCCGCCTGGAACGCGCGCATCCTCGTCGTCGGCTTCGCCGCCGGCGCCATCGAGCGCGTCCCCACCAACAAGTTCCTCCTCAAGAACATCTCCCTCGTCGGCATCCACTGGGGCGCCTACGCCGGGAACGAGCCCGAGACCGTCGCCCTCGTCTGGAGGGGCATCATGGATCTCGTCGCCCGGGGTAAGCTCAGGGGCACCGAGTATACCGGGCACGAGTACGTCGGGCTCGAGAGCGTCAAGGATGCCCTCGTCGCGCTGGGCAGCAGGGGCACCTGGGGTAAGGTCGTCGTCAAGTTGCCCCAGGATGGTGGCAGCAAGCTGTGAGGGACTCGTGTGTGGAGAGGATCTACACTGTTGATAGTGATATATAAGCATCGTTTGCTGGTCGGCTCTATTGCTCTCTCTCTCTCTCTCTATCCCCCCCCCCCTCTCTCTCTGTTCCTTTCTCTTTCTCTGTTCCTCCCTCCCTCCCTCCCTCCCCCTCTCTTCTCTCCTTTTGGTATATGGTAGAGGATATTTCATAGCTTCATTCACTTTCACGTAACAGCGGTAACGTTTTTCCCTTACTCCATCTGGCTCGCCACGGACCGGAAATCATCCATGCACTGCTTCTCCACATTGGCAGCCCACTGCTCCTCAAATACTGCCTCGCCGCCGATCCGTGCCACCACGGCCTGCAGCCTCTCCCTGACGAACGCGTAGGCGTGCACCGTGTGTACCGGGTCCCGGTATGCCGACTCGCGCATGGCCACAATCTTGGGCGTGTCGTATTCGCTGGCCTCGGCCGCCGCGCTGCTCCCGTAGATGAGGCAGTCGGTCGCGTTGGCGGCCCCGTCCTGCAGGTCCGAGATGACGTTGCTCCACATGGTCAGATAGTCCTGAAGCCTGGACAGGGCCAGCTCCTGCATGGGCGACGGCAGCTCGAGAAGCCGCGTCAGGCCCAGCAGGTACAGCTTCTGGTGCTCGATGTGGTCCATGCCGTGGAGGTGGCTGAACCACTCGGCCGACAGCCAGCCCCAGACCTGCTCCAGGCTGCCAAACGTAGTCAGCATCTGCACGAAGAGGCCGGGCTCCGCCAGCGCCAGACGCGCCAGTATCGCCAGGTAGTCGCCTTCCGTGATGGTGTTGAGCTTGCTGATCCGCCGATTGGGCCCCGTCGTCTGGTGCGCCTCCCACGCGTCGTGCAGGTTGCCCAGGATCTTCTTCATGAAGCCCGTCTCCACCAGGTCGCGCATCATGACCGACATGCCTTCGGAGCCGCCCATGTCCACCGCCGTCCGGATCAGCGTCTCCACGCACGCCGTGGCCGTGCGCACCTGCTCTCGGCTCTTCGAGTCAAACACGCCCATCAGTGCCGTGATCGTCGGCCGCCGGAGCTTGTCCTCGAGCAGAGCGCCGGGCGACAGGGCCACGTACGACTCCAAAACCGTCAGTGCCGCACCTGCCGTCACGGACGCGTACTCGAGCAGCGGGAGGGCCATCTCGGCGAGACCGACAATCTCGGGCGCCAACGGGGGCGAGCTCTGCATGAGGATAGCATCCCACAGCTCCAGCGACTCGTCAATCAGGTGGATGTGCAGATCCGAACCGGGACGCACCGCCTCGGAGATCAGAGGCACCATGAGATGCTGGTAGCGCTGCGACGAGCTGCCCATGCTCATGACCAGGGCCGAGAAGATGGCGATGACGGCCTGCTTGATCATGTACTCCTCAGTGCCCGAGGCGTCCCACACGGCCGGCAGGTTGGACATGAGCTGGTCGCCAAACTGCGAAACCTGCTCCTCCATGCGTGTGACGATGATACGGATCGACTCGAGAATGGCCAGCTTTGTCTCGTCAATCTCGACGTTGCGGATCAGCGCCGTCAGCTGCTCCAGCACGTCCGACGTGTAGGGCAGGAAGGCCTCGACGCTGAACCCGAGCTCGTCGGCGATCCACCGGAGCACCCTGGCCGCCGTGATCCTGACGACCAGATCGTTGGACTCGTCGTCGGGATCGAGGAAGTGCCGGAAGATGTGGTAGACGATGGGCCGGCTTCTATCCTCGAGCTTGACGGGGGCCCACTGGCTCAGCAGGATGGCGATGCGCCGTCGCAGCACCCTCTGGAGGTCTCCGGACTTCTGGGCGTCCTGCGCCACGGTCGAGGCCAGGAAGGTGTCGAAGTCGAAGACGTTGACGACATGGGCCGCCGACAGGCCCATGGCCGTATACACAGCCTCTTTGGTGGCGATATCGGCCTGGGGGTTCTGTGCCGTCTGGAAGTACTCCATGAGAGGGCCGATGAGCAGGTCTTTGAAGTTGGTGAGCAGATCCAGGAAGAGCCTCTCGGCGCATGGCCTGACCTGCCACTCGTATGCGTCGCCCTCGGCCTGCTGCTCCTTCTCCCACTCCTCCGCGTCCTCGTCCCAGGCCTCGAGGTCGGATTTGCGGAAGATGAAGAGATATGTGATGATGCGGTTGACGATGGCGACGACGAGTTCCGGCTTGAAAAGCTCGTTCCTGATCATCTCCTTGGCGGCGGCCTGGTCGGCCTTCGTCTGGGGGCTCCGATACTTGAAGGTCTGGACGGGCTGGAAGCCGATGCGCACGCAAGCACGCAGCAGCAGCAGGCCCTTGACAGCCAGCTTCTCCAGGAGGGGACCCTCCGCCTTGGCCTTGGCACCGCCGGATGACGAGCTCTGACGGATGCCGCCCGAGCTGGCGAAAACGTCGGAGAAGCTGGCGACGAGATCCCAGTAGGCGTGGACGAGGGCCAGGGTGTTGGGGAGGACGGCAAAGCTGACGGCGTGCTGCTCGGCCATGTCGATGTGCAGCTTGGTGAACTGAAGAAGATGGCCGCCGGCCAGTTTCTGGAAGTGCTCGGGGGGCAGGGACGGCCCGTCGCCGCCGACCAGGGACAGCAGCTGGCCGAACTGGTTCTGCGACATGGCCCAGAACTTGTCGACGGTGGCGTCGGCGTGCGGGTGTTCGTAGCCGACCATGGCGAGGCGGCGGAGGATCTTGAGGGCGACGAGGCTGTTGGACATGGCCTGGTAGGCATCCTGCTCGCCGCCCTGGCTGCTGGACAGGAAGTCGATACCGAGCTGCGACCTCTCGGCGTAGATCTCGGTGAGGACGTGGAACATCTCGGGCGTGACCGACTGCAGAGCCGTCTGGGACTTGCGCAGGCGGGCCGAGCCGAGCTCCTTGACGACCTGGAGCAGGATCTGCAGGGTGCCGAAGAGGTGCTGCTGGTCGCCGGCGCGCGACGACCGCAGCAGGGACATGATCTGGGCCAGGGCGTCGGGCCACTCGGCCGGGTAGTCTATGCGCACCACCTTGGCGACGACGAAGGCGTTGTGCTCGGCCAGACGGGAGTCCTGCTCGCCCACGGTGCCCTCGAACAGACGGGCGCGGATCACATCCTTCTCGTCGGGCTTGATGCCGTTCTTGACCTGGGCGTACTGCCGCCAGTACTTGTCGATGCCGTTCTTGAGCTGGATGACGGCCTGGAACCGGGGTTCGAGCGGTAGGGACCTGTCAAGGTATACGGCCTATCGTTTTGGAGGAGGGGTCAGAAGAGAAGAAGGAACGTCGTCATGGGACTGGACCTGACCGGCGGTCCATCGGTGTGTGCAGGCACCTACCTGCAAGGAGCTGTAGTACCCGGGATGCGTCTCCCACGCCGAGAGCTGCTGCTCCGCAGCCTGACGCTGCGCATAGTCCTGCGCCGTGGTAGCCAATTCGAGAGCTCGACAGAGGTCCTGGAAGCTGAGCGGGTTGGCGCCGCCGGACACCTCGATAGAGAAGCTCATGGCTGTCTGCTTGTTGGCGGGGGGGGGGGGGGGGGGGGGGAAGAGGGAAGCCGCCTCAGCGGCCCGCAGGCTTGCGGTGGGCTGTCTAGAACTCTGTTTGACGAGCCCGGCGAGGTCGGAGGAGGATCTGAACGAGTGAAGGTCTGTCTGGGTGGCAGCTGCTCCGAGGATTCAACATCGGACTTCGGTGGTGAGATGCCGTTGGGTGAAAATGCACGGCGGACCCTTAGCGGGGCTTTTGGTGGTTGCTTGGGAGAAGGAGGAGGCCGAGAGGGGCTGGTTGATGGTGGGGTAACGATATGATAAATCTTTGAATCAATGACTATCATGTACGTACGGCAGCGTCTGAATACGAACCTGCATAGCAGGAACAGCCATCTTGGACGGGACGCATGATTGATGATATATGCACAGGGAATGCCAATCAAATCATGCTAGAATTTTGAAACATGGGCAGGGATAAAAATAGAAAGCAGGCGATGGCTAGGGACATGTACGATTGCTTGCCAAGATGCCGCCCAGATAATATCGAGAGCTCCATGCGCCGCTAGCATGTATCACTATATACACGTATCGCTACTGCATGTGCTTATCGGTCTATCGAGAGTTCTACTCCGTCTTTCCTCGTGGGACTACCTAGAAGCCCATGACTTGATTGCCGTACCTGAGAATCTCGGCCTCCCCTTCCGTCTTGGCAATAGAGACGTCAAACGGCGCGAAACCGGCGGCACGCTGAGCCACAGTGCCGGCCAGCTCCTTGAGGACATCGGCACCGGGCCTGCCGACGTGCCTGCTCTCGCCCACGCCGCCGGGGAAGTCCGAGGGGGGGATCCCGTGGAGGAAGTGCTCGCGCTGCTGGCGGGCGTAGTCGACGTTCTGCCTGGTCATCGGGCACGCGGGGATGTACATGACGCTGGAGTCGGCGTCGCCGGCGTGGACGCCGTCGACAGCGTGGATGGTGTCGCAGTGCCAGGCGACGTAGTCTCCCGGGCGGATGCGCGGGATGGGAACCATCGTATGCGGCAGGTCGAGATGGGGGTGCCATCTGTGGCTGAGCTCCTGGCAGCTACCCGGCCAGGCACCCTGAAGGTCGGGCGAGTCCGGATCGGCCAGCACCCAGCTATCCGGGTCGAGGTACTCGGCGGAGTGCTCTCCGTCCCGGGCCGGCGGCGGAAACGACGTAGACTTGGGTGCGAAGAAGGGTCGGAGGAGGAGATATGCTGTCGAGAGGGACAGGAGGGGGTTGACCAGAAGGGTCCCCTCGCGCGGTCCCGTGTTGGACATGCCGAGCCAGCCCTGGAACGTGCGTAGCATGCTGCAGGCGCCGGCGCCGTCGTACAGATCCTGTGTGGCCTCGATGCGAGTGCTCAGCTCCCACGCGTCGAAGTCCTCCCACCTGCCCTCCAGGATCTTGTCGTACACGTGCGCCTTGCCGTAGCCTTCCTCCTCCCACCGCTCGCAGCTGCCGCCGTCAACGTGGGGACCGAGTGCGAACCCCGCGTCCCCCGGTTGGCGGATGCGCAGCCTGTCCGCGTACATCAGGGGCTGCTGCGTGCTGCATTCAGACTGCGGGTCGGCCGCATTGTAGTACGACATGAGCCAGGTCTGCACTCTGGACATGTTGCCATTCAGACGGGCCGCCAGCTGTGGCCTCGACCAGTACAGCTCAAACACAACCGGCTTGTCAGGCGGAAACGCTAGATATACTGTCAGCAACAGGGACCGTATAGTTAGCTGGGTGACGGCATCGGGGAAGGGATACACACCTCTCGTCGAAGGATTGGCAGCAACGTAGCGCTCAACCTCCTCCTTGAACCCTCTCGCCTCCTTCTCCGGGACGACCTGGCGGACGACAGCGACGCCGCGCTTGCGGAATGTCTCATCAAACTCTGCAGGCGCATTGTCGATGTCGGCAAAGTCGATCTGCGGAATACAGGACGAGCCCTCGTCCTTGATGGCGCGCGTCTCGTCCTTCAACCGGTTGAGCAGCCGATTCCAGCTTTCTTGAAGCGTGGCTCTATCGGTGCGGATGGCGCTCTTGACGTCGGCAAATCGCTGCGGGAGCTTCTCGTCCACATCGCTTCCTGACAGTGACCTGAAGACGGAAGATATGTCACCCTCCGCCTTGGCAGATCTGTGCTCTTGCGCAGCAGTAGCAAGAGTTCTTCTGCATCGGATAGCCGCCAACAAGGTGGGCCGGGTCCTGGAGATGGAAATGCTCAGCATGATGCTGCCGTGTGTGTTCAGCAGCCAATTCTCGAAGGGGAAGAACGCAGAGTAGGATGAAGGGAGAGCCGGAGAGACATGGGAACCGGGAACCCCGCGTCTTCGAAGTAATACGTCCAGTGCCATCTGATCCCCCGCGGGACGTGGGGAGGTTCAATGACGGCCGAGCCCAGCCACGATTTCCTATCAGGGTAATGCGAATGGCGGAACGGGCTTTTCCCCAAAACGGCAAAACACGACGCCTGCCATGGAAACGGCAAGGACAAATCCCCGACATCCAGGCGGATACTTCCCGAACCGTCAGCTTCCGAGGGACGTGACTAGGACATGGCGATTCTATATGATGACGCGTGAGTATATGGCTATATTCTCACGTCGGCCTTGTCACCTTGTCCCTTGAGTGATGTTGGGGTAACAGCCCTGAGACAACAGTGGCTGCGTCGGGTCGAGGTTGGCCGAGAAGACCTGATCGATGAGATCGAGGTCGAAGCTGGGATCGAAATGGCTGAATATGCCGGCATCGCCCACCCAATCTTCGACAGTGTTCGGTGGCTCATCGGAGCCCAACGAGGGGGCGTCGACGTACGGCTGGCATGTCGACGTTGCCGTTGATGCTGCTGCAGTGAGCTGCTGCTGCAGAAGCCGGTCCTGATCTTCATCTTGCTGGCCCTGCGTCGGAGATGGGACGGCTGACGCCTGAGCCGTGGCGGTTCCCTGACCACCGTTCAAGGTCTCCGCAAGCCTCGGCCTGCTCCTATCCGCTGCGATCCTCTCGACCTGATTCAGGGTGTCTGTTGCCATGAGCGCGACGGTGCGGGCAGATGAGAAGGTCCTCCCCAGTTCTTCGAGGACGCCGCAGCTTCGACGGAACAGGCTATACGCCTGCCTGCGGCGGTAGGCCAGAGTGCTGTTCCGGAGACTCTTGTACGCTACCGACGCAGCCAGCGACACGGCATACGGAAGGACAGGCCAGAAGGCAAGGGCGGATTTGAAGTCCTCCGATGCGATCGATACTATACTAGTCGCGACGAAGAGCTGCAGGTCAGAACTCGGAGCCGGATAGCCCTGGCTCTTCTGGCCCTCGGTGGGCCTGGGACGTTCCCGGAGGACCAGGACGGAGAGGTACAGCATCTCCAACGAGGCTGTTGCAACACAAGTCAGCAAGTCGATTCTTCACAGACTGAACCGTCCCAACGTGCTGGAATCCTCGTAGCAGCCGCACCGCATGACTTACCCAGGACGGAACTGCTCAGACCGCCTGCTTTGGCCTCCCCGACCAGATGCTCAAAAGTGACATCCACTTCATCTTCCACCTCGACGGCAGCAGAGTGAGGCCTGTAGCGCGAAATGACCGTGTCCAGAAGGCGCGATATTCGGATGAGCAGCCTGAACGGCGCCGCCTGCTCCGAGCAGGTATCCAGCATCTTCAGCTCCATGTCCTGCCGATGGAGGAGGACAGGGCGCCCGTTTGCCGCAGCATTCAGGCGGTCGAGGACCCAGACGCACCAGAACAGGCGCCTCGGCTTCTCCGAGCCTGTCTCGCCGTCGGGCCAGCCGAGGTGCAGACCCAGCGTCTGGGCATGGTGCACGGCCTGGGAGACGTAGTACGCGGACACCTCACTGCAGTTGGCCTCGTCGGCGTTCAAGGCCATCAGGACGGACACCTGCAGGAGAACGACCCTGTCACGGACAAAGCCCATGTCGAGCGCCTGCTTGACAGCGCGGGAGATGTAGCTCCGGAATTCGATGGGCGGCAGGAGGCGCTCCGTGCATGGCAGACGTAGGTGGCTCCGCAGCTTCGGGTCAGCTGCTGCCACTAGGCAGATGCACTGCTTGAGGGCGACGGACTCGGACGGGCTGTGGCCGGCAAGTTCCTCCCCTCGCATGACGGGGAATAGGGGGTCCACCTTGGCGTAGTAGAGGTTCACGATGATGCCGAGGTCGTGATCCGGTGGTAGAACTGAGAGGCATTCTTGTCGTAGGTGGCTCGATAGAGCTTGTAGGCCCGTGAGGCCGGATGGCTGGATGGTCGGGTCGTACGCGTTGCGGGTGGTGGAGGCATCGTTACCCTCAGCCGACCCCTCCCCGGTAGAGAGGTGTTGACGCGCACCGGGTCTCTGGCCCAACCACACGCCTACGTCGGCATGTCGTGATGTCTGCGTGGCATCGTGGGCATCACTTCGCTGGTTGGTGAGGAACGAGGCTTCCGGGCTGAGGTCTCCGACAAAGCGTAGATATGCATCCTTGGACAGCGGCTGGACCTCGGAGGTATCCCGTGGCGGAACAGAGGATTCGGGGGCGAGAAAGAGCTGAGACCGGCTGTTTGGGCCTTCACCTTCAGGTGCATCCCCAGGATCACCAGGAGTCCTCTTTTTAGTCCGCCTGTCCGAGAGGGGAACTGGTGTCGACTCTATGTGTGGGCAACGTTTCTTCAGAGCATTGTCAGCTAGAAGCGGGGGAGATTGTTTTTTTTCCCTTCTTTCTTTTTCTCCATCTTTTCTTTCGAGAGGAACTAACATGTCTCTTCCTGCATGAATCACACGTCTTCGGTCCTTGCTTTCTCTTTGTGCCTATCCCGCCGACATGGTCGGATACGAATCTGAGCATGGTTGACTTGAAGCCGAGAATGGATATTGGCCTTATTATATGCCAAGGGGCAGTTGACCTATGTATGACGGTCTGGATGGCTCCCCATTTTTGGATTTTATATTGTAGACGAGTAACGAACAATGAAGAATGAGGAGCGAAGAGTGAGAATGATAGATAGATAAAAAACCAACAGACAAAAACATTGTAGTATTAGAGATTGAAAACAAGGTCGGTAGGCGACGAACGGGCTGTGAGGTCGATGCCAAAGCAGAGGAGAGTCCGAGTGGTCCTACGCTAAACCCCAAAGGGCAAATGAGCTTCACGAGATTTCCTCTTCTGCGTCCCAGAATCTCTCTCGATTCTCCAGCTCTCGCACCACCCACAGCACCGCGACCGCCATGATCCGAATACCTGCGGCACGCCGGGCGGCGGCCACCCTGTCCCGAAGGCAGTGGACATGTCCGTCATGCACACATCTCAGTCGAAGGTACTCGCAGAAGGTGACTGACTCGTCCACCCCCCCCGCCGAGGCGCGACAGCCGCGCGAGCCCCCCGACCACCGCCGGCTAGGCGTGCAGCAGGGCCTCTTCACGACATCCGTCTACAGCCCCGGGTCGCCGATATTCCTGCCGCGTGGGGCCCGCGTCTTCAACCGGCTGGTCGACTTCCTCCGGCGGCAGTACGTGCGCTACGGCTTCGACGAGGTCATCACGCCGACCATCTACAAGAAGGCGCTGTGGGCCAAGTCGGGCCACCTCGAGAACTACGGAGACGACATGTACTCGGTGACGGGGTACTCTGACAGGAAGGCCGAGGCGGACGGTTCCGAGTGCCGCGGTCACCAGCACGGGGACGGCAAGGCCGCCGCGGCCGAGTCAAGGGCCCAGGAGAGCGAGGAGGGCGAGGAGGGCGAGGAGGGCGAGGAGGGCGAGGAGGGCGAGGAGGGCGAGTATGGCCTGAAGCCGATGAACTGCCCGGGCCACTGCATAATCTTCGCCTCGGGCCATCACAGCTACCGCGACCTTCCGGTCCGGTACGCCGACTTCAGCCCGCTGCACCGCAACGAGATCTCGGGCGCCCTGAGCGGCCTGACGCGCGTGCGCCGCTTCCACCAGGACGACGGTCACATCTTCTGCCGGCCCAGCCAGGTGGAGGAGGAGATCGGCAAGACGCTCGACTTCGTCCGCGTCGTCTACACGGCCCTGCGGCTCGCCGGAGCGGGCTACCGGCTGGCACTGTCGACCCGCCCCAGGGACGGCTTCATCGGCACCGCCGAGGAGTGGGACCGGGCCGAGGACGCCCTGCGCCGCGCCCTCGACCGGTCCGGCATGGACTGGACCGTCAACGACGGCGACGGCGCCTTCTACGGCCCCAAGATCGACATCGTCCTCCGCGACTCGGACGGCAAGGAGCACCAGACCGCCACCGTCCAGCTCGACTTCCAGCTGCCCAAGCGCTTCGACCTCGAATACCAGGCCCCCGCCCCCGACCACGAGGCTCGCGGCGAGACCACCGACGACCCGGCCGAGTTGGCCCGCTACGGGCCCGTCCGCCCCGTCATGATCCACCGCGCCGTCCTGGGCTCCGTCGAGCGTCTCATGGCCATCCTCATCGAGAGCTACGACGGCAAGTGGCCCTTTTGGCTCAACCCGAGACAGGCCATCGTCTTGACCGTCAATACCTCGGAGCCCGTCGTCCGCTGGGCCAACCACGTGCGCAACGTGCTCGTCGGGAACGACGGGAAGGCCTACCAGGACCTCGAGGCCGGTGTCCTCCCCTCGCCCGACCACCCGCTTCGTCCGACGGGGCTGGCCGTGGATGTCGATGACAGCGCCAGGTCCCTCGGCCTCAAGATCAGGGAGGCCCACAGCGACGGGTACGGCCTCATCCTCGTCGTCGGCGACAAGGATGTCGAGAGTGGACTGGTCAGCCTGGGAAAGGAGAGGTGGACTCCCGAGCAGATGCGTGACAAGATGCAGGTCATGGCTGATACTTTCCAGTGATCAATCACGCTTTTATGTAACAATATGTAGAATTATTCTAGGTGGCAAGACGTTCATTGTCTTCTGTCACTGCTGTACTACTACTATATACTACTGCTGCTCCTACGACTAGTCACTGGATAATCCAACAATGGCAAAATTTCCATCTTTCCTCGTCACTCCTGACCGTTATCCTGGAAATAAAGCAAGTCTCCCCCCCCAAAGCTTTTAGCCGTTGAATCCTCGGTGCTCCTGGTGGTCCTGGTGGTTTTGGCGGTCCTGGCTGCCCTGGCTGTCCTGGCTGCCCTGGCCCCCCTGGACCTGGTTGTCTGGCGGCAGCATATAAGGGTATGGGTAATCATAATCATGACGCGGTAGGTATTCGTCGTCTGGCTGGCTCCCCCAGTCCTCCTGCAATCCATTCATTGGGGGGGTGGGGGTTCCATAGTCTGGCTGGTTCCCCTGACTCCCCCAACTGTTGTAGCCTGACTGGTCTAGGCATTCCTGGATCCCGTGGTTTGGTTGATGCCAGCCGTCGGGCGGCAATACGGGATGCGGCTGGTATCCGTACCAGCCGGTTCGTTGGCTTGGCTGCGGGGACTGAAGATATCTCGGTACGGTCCCCCATGTTTGAGGAGCTTGAAGAGTCTGAGGAATTCGAGGAGCTCGAGGAAGTTGAAAGGCTTGAAAGTCTCGGGAAGCTCGAGGAGCTTGAGAAGCTTGAAGGTCTTGAGGGAGTTGGGGAGGTTGAGGAAGTTGAAGAGGTCGAGGAGGCCGAGGTGTGTGCTGCGCTTGAAGCGCTCGGAGTGTCTGGTGTGCTCGACGGAAGTGAGGTGCCGACCGTGCTTGAACCGCCCGGAGCTCTCGCCATTCTCGGAGCGCCCGTTCCTCTAGAAGTACGTAGAAGTCCTGCCGTTCGTGAGGTGCCTGATTCTGTCGGACTTCTACAAGTTTCTGCCGCGCGTGCCTCGCGCGGAGTATCATTCTGGCTTGAAGATTTCGAATATGCTCATGTCTCCGAATCAATCGAAGTGCCTGCTGTGCTCGAATCATGTCGGCCGCCTGATTCGCGCGGCTGCCGTCGACTATCTCGTCTCCGTCGTTGGACCCTTGAACCCTGCTGACTCCTTGGGGTGCGTCGGAGTCTAGAGTAACGTCGGATCCTTGGTGGTCATGGAAGCCTTGAGCCCCGCTGGAGTCCTGAGGTCCGTCGACGTGCCGATATCCGTCCAATCCCTAATTTTGCTGGACCCCTTGATATGATTGGTTTGTTGGCAGGTTCCCGCCGAATTCATCGAACCCCATGTGCCCTGCGGAGGCCTGATTTTGCTGGTTCAGCTGTCGATGCTGGCTTGGCCGTCGTTCCTGTCGCTGTTGTTGCTGCCGGTTCAGCTGTTGCTGGATTTGCGGACAAGCGTGCTGTTCTCGTTCTCCAGCGTCTTCCTCGTCTATATTGCCTGGATGCACTGGATGGTCTCGAGGCAAACCCCGGTTCAGGCTGGGCATGACTTCGTCCGGCCCTTCTTCCGGCCATCGCTCCGGCGATTCTTCTGGCAGGGCTGGCTGACCGGGGGGGGGTCCCTGGTCCGGGGTTTGCTGGTATGCGGCCGGCGCTTCGTCCGCGCCGGGCTGTCCTAGGAGGTGTCCCAGTTCCAGATCTAGGCTGGCGAGAAACCCGTCATCCATGTCCGGCAGGCTCGGTATGGCAGCTTGGTCCGGAACCTGTTGAATTGCAGAAGGGGACTCTTGACTCAAGTCTGACTGGCCCGGGAGAAAATCTTGGGTCATCCGGGGCAGTTCCGGAGATGCGTAGGTGCTCTGGTTCGAGTGAAATGCATAATCTTGCTGACCTATCTGGCATGCCTGAAGACGCGCCCCCCGGACCCCGTCGTTCCCCTCGGACCGCTTGGATATCTCGGCTTCCATGTTTTTGCCGTCTCTGGAGGTCCTCTTGAGCGCCTCGCTCGTCTTGAACCCTTCAATTCCCTCGGACCCCTGGACTCCTTGGTTCCCCTAGTTCCCCCTGGATCCCTCGTTTCCGCCGGACTCGTCCCTCGGCTTGTAATTATACAGAGGTCTGGTATGGAGCGTCAGTAAGATGCCGGATGGGACTCACGACACATAGAAGCCAGGATGTGGGAGGGAGAGGGAGCAAAAGGCAACGCACTTCTTGAGTTCCTCATCGACGGTGCCTCCAGCCGCCTCAATGCGAGCAATCATCTGGCGGCGCTCTTCCATCTTTTCTCTCATGAATTCGACCGTCTTGTTGAGCACGAGTCCCTCCGAGCGCCCTTGACCCTCGAGTCCGGGAACGAGATGTGTCAGACGGTCGAATCCTTCCCTGATTGCCTGGCGACGCTTCTGTTCTAGGGGGGGTTCAAGTCAGCCAAGGATATACGTCGAGGCTGCGCGTGCGTGCGCGTGCGTGCGGGTTATGTGGGTGTATTACCAGATGCTATGTGATTCTGCTTCTTCTCTTCCTCGGTCAGTCGCGGCTTGTCGTCTCCGCCACCACCAGGAGCGCCCCCATCTGGATTCTGAGGTGATAGCATTGCTGCTCTGCTGTCTGCCACCCTCCAGGGGGGGGGGGGGGTTGAAGATGTACTCGTACGCGTGCGTGCCCTGGACGCGTGCTCCCGTATGTTTATGCGTTCTTGTGTTCTGCACAGTCCGAGGATTTATATTTTTTTGACGTGTGAGTCTGAGGATTGGAGAATGAAATGATGCTGATGATGATGGGTGGTGGGTGTTGGATGTTGGACGTTGAATGTTGGTGGGGGACAAGCTGAGGATGGGATCTTTTGTATCAACCCCAGATTTTGTCAATGTACGGCAGGAACGCCCCCCAAGGTATTACCGCGTAGTATTACGATCACGTAGGGCTACGTATATTAAGAAGCTGCTATTACTGCTTGCTAGTATTGCTTGCTAGTACTGCTTGCTAGTGCTGCTTTGCTGTTACTACCACTGCTACTACTTACTCTCTATTGCTGCTTACTATTACCACCTACTACCATAATAGTAGCAGCAGCAGTAGTAGTAGTAGTAGCGACGACGGCAGACGTCAACACAACCAAGTTCCTTTCACGTGAAATTATCATGAGCTTCTACGTAAAGTGTCGTTGAGTGGCGCGATTCACAGATGCGCTTTCGGTGCCTTTTACTGCTATATCACTACTATACTACTACTATGCTGCTGCTATGTTGCTACTAGTATGGTCGTTTTACTTACCTGCAACTGTGGTAACCATGGCGAGATATTACTCGTACGGAGCCGTATGAGTATAAACATTGAGATTAGCTGCCGATGATGGTAGTGGTGATGGCATATGCAGTGTCACAGTCACATGCAATTCAGTGTGCTGCAGATCTATAAAGTAGTAATATCATGTTCAATCACATGCCTTGATCTGACGACGCAATAGTGACAGAAACCCACCGCCAAACACTGGCTTCCTTTGTTCTTCTTCCCTTCTCAGTCTCCTCCTCTCGCCACTGACCTAATAGTATTATCCGTACTGCACTGCATCCTCTTGTCTCCTTCCCGTACCCGATGCGTATGGAGAATCTCCACGTGATAGTTTTGATGAAGTAATCTTGACCACATATACAGACACGATCCTGCTGCTCAACCGGTCTGCTCTTCCTTTCTGTCATTGTATATAAAGCAGTAATATGGGATCGACCTGTCCATTTTTCTCATAGCAAATTTCATGGACCCCTCTGTTCTTGCCTGCCACGCACTATATAATAAACCAAGGAAAGACCAAGGAAGGGAAAGATGAGAAGAAGGCAAAAAGAGGAAGAAAAGAAAAAAGAGCCCCCCCCCCCCCAAAAAAAAAGATATGGCGTAGCATCTACACCAAGAGGAGAGAGACAGCTCAATCGTCTGCAGGCCCTTCCTCCTCGGCAAACTCCTCCTCGTCCTGCTGAAAGATGACCTTCTCGGCCATGGCCAGAGTCTTCCGGACAGGTAGGCCGACGACGTTGTCGACGCTGCCCTCGATCTTCTCGACGAGCAGCATACCGCCGATGCCCTGGATAGCGTACCCGCCGGCCTTGTCCGCTCCCTCGCGCGTCTTGACGTAGGCCTCGACGACGTCGTCGGGGAGCCCGTCATCCTCTGCCCAGAAATACACCTTGGTCTCCTCGGTGTGGGTGGCGATGTCGTAGCCCGGGTGCCGGGCGTCCTCTCGCGGAGCGACGACGGTGACGGACGTGAGGACCTTGTGGACCCTGGTATCGCGCATGGTGCGCAGCATGCGCAGGTGCTCGGCCTCGTTACGCGGCTTCTCGAGGATGCGCCCGTCGCGCGTCACGATGACGGTGTCGGCCGCAATCACCAGGCTGGGATCCGGTATCGACTTGAGGTGCGTCTCCAGCGCCGCGCTGTAGACGTCCAGGCACTTCCGTCGCCCGGTGGCGGCCACATACTCGTAAGGCCCGTAGGCCGTCTTGTCCAGATCCTCGGGCTTGGTCGACGGCAAGATCTCGAGGTTCCTCAGGCCGACCTGCAGGAGTTTGCACGCCAAAGTCAATACAACCCTTCCGACCCTCTTCTTCTTCTTCTTCTACTGCTTCCTCTTCTTCTCATCGTCATCCTACTGACCTGCTGAAGCAGCGCCTTTCTTCTGGGGGAGGCAGAGGCGAGTATCACTCGCTTCGAGTTGAGATAGCTGAGGATGGGCAGCTCCAGAGGCCGAGGACCCCTGCGAGGTCCAGGAGGCATCATTGATCGGCGGGAGGTTGCCTTGTCGTATTCCGGTGGCGGTCCCGCTGGCTCTTTCGACGAGTCTGCCATACTGGAGGAGGAGCACTGGGGATGGATGTCGTGCGTTGCGTTTTGCCTGTTGGTGTGTTGCTGCAGCTTGATGGGCGGTAGACGACAGTAAATGTCACCAACTCTGGAGGGGCCTGTCGCCGCTGCTGGTGCCCCGCCACGCTTTTGCTCTGTAGAGAGCATTGACTAGTATTACTGCTACTAGCACGTAACATCAACTTGCAGCGCACCACTGCACATCATATTGTACAGTGCATATGGAATTACTATATAGAGGGCCTTGTTTTTTTCTTTCTTCCCCCTATCGTATCTTGACAGATTTTTCCTGTCGGGAGAAAACATCATTTTTGACCTGTTGCCGTAATATTGGTACTGAATTGTAGTGATACCCTGAGCGAGGAGTGGTGTGAAACTCCGTGGTACCCGAACAGTGAATATCCCATACCAGCTGAAGTCACCATTTCCGGACTAGCGTGGAAGGAAATAGATACGTACCTTTACCTCACAGTATTACACCACTGTACAGGGTAAATTCCATTGCACTCACTCTTATTGTCCAAATTCCTTCAATGAAGAAAGAGAAAAGTCCACACACAGACATTGACAGCTTCCAAAGCCGAACGCGACCTGCAAACCACCCCAGCCAAAAATTGAGACGCTGCAGTCCACCATCTCCCCTGGCTAGCGACGCAGAGACCCTTCGACCCTCACGTCAATCCCCCTCCCCCCCCCCCCCCCCCCCATCCAAGCTTTTGCGACCACATCTCTGCCTCCTTAGCTAGTTACATCTCCCCGGTCCGACCTTTCTTCTCTTTCCCCCTGCCCCCCCTTGCCTATCCTCGCTGCGCCGTTTCACCCGCCCACCTACCACCGGTCGGACGCGTCGACAGCTTGAACCCGCAAATCCGCCCGCTGCCGCCGCTACCGCCCACCCGCCGACGGCTACATCGAAAAAAAAGCCGTTGTGCCGAGCACGCTGGGAATATATACACCCCACGATTGAATTCGCGATACCGGAAGCGGCGCGACGGCAGCCCCGGGATGCGAGCAGACACAATGGACTCGAAGCGCAAGGCCAATGGCGCTGCGTCGCCCGACAGCGAGGACCGCGCCGGGAAGCGGCGCAAGTTGGCTGTAAGATCTTCCTCGACCCTTGACATCGTACTCATGCCGCCGCGTGTCGCACCTCCCTCCCCCCCCCCTCCCCGGACATCACCCCGCCCGCCGGGGAATTGATCGATGATGCACGCCACGCACCCTACTGTCGAGACGAAGCTGACCTCTCACCTTTGCCTCCGTCACCAGGAGTCTTACGATCTCTCCAAGGGAGAATCACCGGACTCGACTTCGGCCTACGGGCTGACCCTTGTCGATCAGATTCGTCGAACAGCCGATAAAAGGTACGGTGCACAGAAAGCTGCGACTCCATTGCATCTGCTGACCGCGCACATCTGCCCGTCTGCAGCGGCCGTCGTGTGGCAGGATACTTCGAGGATCTCCCGCCTGTCAAGGGTAACGAGGACTACTACGAGCGCACGCGCATGCCCATCTCCCTCTCCATGATCGAGGACAAGCTGCAGGCTGGCGAGTTTGCCAACCTGTCAGAGCTCGAGAGCTACTTCAAGCGTATGATCTCCAACGCAAAGGAGTGGTTCCCCCGCTCTTCGTCCACCTACGACGACGCCGAGCGCGTCCGCAAGGCCGTCAGCAACTACATGACCAAGACGAACCCGGCCTACCAGACCAGGGGCTACCAAGCCATCGCCACACCTCTTCCCGGTGAAGAGGGGACACCCAAGCCGGCGGGAGGCCCGAAGCGCCGTTCTTCGGCAGCCGCCGCCGCCGCCGCCGCCGCTGCGGCGGCGACTGACGAGGACGAAGAGAAAGAGGAGGATGGCGGCAAGGAAGACGGGGACGACGAGGAGGACGAAGAGGACGAGAAGCAAGAAGAGGAAGAAGAAGAAGATAGCACGCCCGCCGGGTCGAAGAGGCGATCTATCATCCTCAAGCGGAGGGGTCCCACCCGGTCGACACGAAACTCCATCTCCGCACCGCAGGAGACGCCTCGAAAGTCTGCTGCGTCCGCGAAGCCAGACCACCAGTACGAGGACGTGCCCTACAAGGGTCTGAGTTTCCAGCAGGCCCAGGAGAAGATTGTCGAGGAGATGCTACGTCACAGGGAACCAGAGTATGTCCACGCGCACGCGCGCACGCACGCACACACACACACACACACACACACACACACACATCCGTCTCGAGGGGATGGTCCCAGTACCGTCTCTCCCCCCCTTCTCCGCATCGATCGACTGACCGTTTCTCCGCAGGTACGACAGCGCGTACTTTGAGGCATTTGTGAACCTGCCTCCCCGTGCACTCAGGGACTACTACAAGATGATCGCGGACCCTCTGTCCCTCAAGAAGCTCCAGAAGATGGTCAAGGGAGTGCAGAGCCGTCACGAGTCGACGGGCACCACGGAATTCAAGTCGTGGGCCCAGTTTGAGGACAAAGCTGCTCTTCTGTGGGAGAATGCGTTTTACTACAACGAGGAGAAGAGTGAGATATACATACTGGCTCAGGAACTCAAGGTGAAGTCCCCCCCCCTCCAGCGCTCCGGCCCGTCATTCAGTGACCGGCGTCACAGTGACTAACATTACGCATGCAACAGGACTTCTTCTACAGGCACCTCAAGTCAGCTCAGCAGGCCGTCCAGGAGCCGGCCCAGCCGAAGATCAAGCTCAAGGTGGGACAGCAGCAGCAGGCCGAACCGTCATCAAACAGCAAGAAGATCACCATCCACGTCGGCAACGGCCACGGCCACGGCGGATCCGTCGACTCTCCCACTCCCGCATCCCCAGCAAAACAGCAGCAGCAGCAGCAGCAGCAGCAGCAGACGCCATCAGCATCGGTGAAGGAAACAGCAGCAGTGAACGGGACGCACACGCAACTGTCGCTCGCTCCCGTGGATAAAGCAAGCAGCATCTCATCGCTCAGTCCGTCCGTGAAAAACCAGCAGCAACTGCCTGGATCGCCGGCCGTGCGGGCGCCCAGCGTGGCGTCGGGCCAGATGACGCCCGGAGAGGCCGGGCGACCTCCATACCCGGCTGCTCCGTCGCAGCCGCCGCAGACGCAGGTGCAGGCTCCTCCTCCGCCGCCGCCGCCGGTGATCCCAATGGAGCCGAAACTGCTGAGGGGTACAGGAAAGGGTACGTTCTTGAAGTCACTGTGATGGGAAAAAAGAAGAGAAAAGAGTGAGAAGAAGAAGAGCGAAAGAGAGAAGAAGATGAAGCTGACATGTAGATTCTAAAACCGCAGGCGTCAAAGACGCTCTCCTATCATCTCTACGTCTCCAGTTCTACAGCCACGCGCGCCACGAGCCCACTCTGACGACGATCCTCCCGGACGCCAAGGAGATGCAGCAGTCGGCGACGGTCAACCTGACGGCCGACTTCGGGCGGCTCTTGGCGATCGCGACGCTGCCCGACTTCATACAGGACAGGCAGTACTCCCTCTGGACGCTGCTGGACAGGCAGCCCCTCAAGACGAGCATGCAGCCCCCCTCGGTGCTGGCGCAGGCCGTGCCCGACCTGACGCACCGGGACAGGGTGTTTGAGGCGATGCTCCGCCCGGGCATCAACACCCTCGAGGCCCACCTCGTCGCTGCCATACCCAGGGCGGAGAGGGTGCAGGGGGGTCCGGAGGTCGAGCTCGAGGTCTTTACCGTCTACGTGAATGTCTTGCGGGGTAGCTGAGGGGCATTGGGGGGGAGAGTGGGAGTGGCGTTGCTGTATACAATTGTTCAGTAGAGAGAAGAGAAAAAAAAGAGCGAGAGAGAGAGAGAGAGGTTGGTATCATGGGACGAATGGAGAGATGGGCGTTTGGATGATGATTTCTTTTTCCTTGGTTTCTTTCTTCTTCTTCTCTCTTTCTTCTCTTTGGTAATGTGTTGTAGTCTTATCTTTCCGATTCCTAGGCGTATGGGATTCTTTTCTTTTCTCTCTCTCTAGGAGTATTATTGCTAGTAGTTAACCATGACAATAGGCTGATCGTGTCTTGCTCAGGTCTCTGTTTGCACGGGGTATGGTGATGTACACATAGATGTATACGTATTATATGTATAGATATATAATCTGCTTAAAATTACAAGTCATCTTTAGCAAGGTGATGGACTTTGAGATGAGGAGAAACGGAACAAGGCGGGAAATAAGCAGAAGGGAAAGAAGAGGAGCGGAAGAAAAAAGAAGATTAAAATAAAGAGAAGGTGAAGAGAAGAGAGAGAGAGAAAGAGAAATAAAGAAGGGAGTTAATAGACAGTATATTGATCATCTCCATTTCCAAAAGAAAAAAAAAAGGTCTTCTGACACCGAACCACCCCTGCTCCTATCAATCGAACTACTGCGGTTCGTATCCATCCAAGATGGAAAGAGTTGCCAGATTGGAACCCACGGCGAGGGCGAGCGGTGCGGTGCGGCGGTCACAATCCTCCTCCTCTACCCCCCCCCCCCCCCCCCCCCCCCCCCCCCCCCTCTCCATCCATCCATTCTTTCGGCCCAAACAGAGGAAGAGGAGAGTGTTGACGCCTGCCGGATCCCCGAGACAAACCGATCGTTACGAAAAAGCGCGTCATCCCTCCCCTCCACCTTCACGATGACGGATGGTCAATGTCATCTCTCTCTTCTCATATAATACCTCTCTCTAGCGCCGCTCCCCACCCCTTCAGGGGTTCGAATAGGGAGATTAATATACAGGAAAAGAAAAGAAAGAAAAAAGAAAGAGAGAGAGAGAGATCATAGAGAACGGGAAGAATGCCGACATATTTTCAATTCACCCAGGGTACGGAATCACGCGTCCGTCCCAACAGCGACGCCTCACCGCTCCTAGGACGATACCGAGCCGTACCGACAGCACAGCAGGGAAGTCTACGGGTGGGGAGGAGATCGAGTCGATGGGGACTGTTCTCCGGCGGCGGCGGCGGCGGCGGCGGCGGTCCCTACAGCAGCTTACGCGCCGCCGGGTACGGAGCTGTCCTCGATGCCGGGGGGTTCGGTGACGACGATGACGACGACGACGACGGAGGCGACGTAGATGACCTCGATGATCTGGATGGTTCGGTCCGGGCCAGGCTCTGGAGACGATGGGTCCTGGATCTCTGGGTGAGGCCGAGGAATGTCGCCGTCAAGAGGGTGGTTGATCATTGGTATTCGCGCTATGGGCTGTTGGTGTTTATGCCTGCGTTGCTGGTGAGTTTCGTCCCTCTTTCCTCTTCCTCTCCTCCTTCTTCCTTCTTCCTCTTCCTCCTCTTCTTCTCATCCTATCCTGTTCAGAGGGGAAGGGAGGGGACGGTGATCTGAGCTGACAGGGATTGTTGTCTCATAGACGATTGCCTGGTGTGCGATCCCTCTACCGCAGTACAGACTACCTGACGGCTACGGCGGTGACGGTGACGATGGCGACGACGTGTCCGGTGGGGGCGACCGGACGCCTGGTCACGGGAGGGCGCGCGTGCAGGTCAACTTCTGGTTCTTCCTGTTCGTCTACTACGGGCTGTATAACCTCACGGCTCTGATCTGGATAACCAAGCTGTTCAACCTGTATAGTCTGAACTGGTACGTGCCCGAGTCCACAGCCGCCGCGAGGATGACCCACGTCTGACCGTGGAGAGGTGAGAGGAGTGGGTGATAGCTGTGCTGACGCAAGAGGGACACAACTTCTCAGGTGGCCGCAATCCTTGGGCTTCCCGGCGACGGTGTCCCTGATCGCCATCGTGTCGCTCGCGGTCCCCATACCGATATACTACATGGACTCTACCCGCTTCCTGACGATGCACAACACGGCGTGGATAGCGTGGACATTCATCACCATGGCACTCCCCGTCGCCATCGCGCTCCTGATCCTGCGCAACAACGAGCGTCACATCGGCCTGCGCAGCACCCTCTCGGAGACGCAGCGCATATTCACGGCGTCGTGGTGGACGGGTGACGTCGACTCCATGACCACGGCGTCCATGGGCAGGTCCGGTCGGAGGAGACCGGCCGTCGCCGAGGACGGATTCCTGATCGACGACGACGACGACGGCCACTACTACTACGACGACGGCAGCTTGGCGGTCGTCGACGACCTCGACGCTCCCCCGCCGTCGCGCACGCGTGCCTCCCGTCGTGCGGCCGCCACATCCAGGACCGGCCCGCCGCCGCCGCTGGCACTGGTAAAGTCTTGGTTCCCGGCCAGCTTCGTCCGCTTCCTCTGGTTCTGCGTCGCCCTGTTCGTAGGACTGATGGCCTACGTCCTCGGCGAGGCCTACGCGGAGCTGTACCTGCGCACGCTGCCTCACAACAGCTTCGAGACGGTCATCTACGTCTATGGGTGGGTCGTGACGGTCCACCTGCTCGATCTGCTGACTGGCTTCGTCATTGGTGCGCGAGAGGGTGAGAGGGTCGGAAGTTATCCTCTGAGCTGGGTGTTTAAACTGTACGATTTTCTCTCTCCCATCTTTCCATCCATCCAACCCCTGTCTTGCCTTTTCTCTCTCTCTCTCTCTCTCTCTCTCTCTCTCTCTCTCTCTCTCCCTCCCTCGTTCTCGCATGCACACACACACGCACACATACATACATACATACATACATATATATATGGCAAGCTTACTGACACGTGTTTTTTCCCCTCTTGTCCTCTCGATTCCAGATACTTCATGCTCACCTACCAGACCTACGTCCGAGCACTATACGCCCGCCTCCGCTCCCCTCAGCAATTCGTAGTCCTGCAGATGCTGTCGTCGACGCGCCTCGTCATCATAACCCCCATCATGATGACCAGCTTCTTCCACAGGATTCTCGGTATCCTCGGCCTCACGACGCTCAGCTACGCCACGTACCAGAAGCTGCAGACGCGCAACGTCTTCATCCGCTTCCTCGCGGAGAACACGTCGATGATCGCCTTCCTGGGGAGCGTTCTCGTCCTGCACTTTGGCGTCAACAAGGACGTCTACCCTTACTTCTCGTTCGATGGCAACGGCAACGCCAATGACGGCGACGGTGATCAGCGGCAGGACGGGTACTACGACTTCAACATGATCTTCTGGGCCTCGGGGGTGACGTGGGCCTGCGAGCTGGTTGCCAGCCTGATCCTCCGTCTGCTCCTCCGTGGTCTGTTCGGCGTCGACGTCGGGCTCGAGGGCCGCGTTGACCTGGCTGTGTGGCCGGAGCTGCTGCCTACTTGTGTTGCCGTCACGCTGCACGTGTTGCAGAATATGCTGTTTTCCATTATCCGTCTGCGATTTAGAGCTTGAGAATTTCCCTTCTTTTTCTCCTCTTCTCTTCCTTTTCCTTTTCCTTTCCCCCTTTTCTGTCATGATGTGCTTCTTGTTTGTTTTTTCTTTCCTCTCTCCTCGGCATGTTTTCTACTTCATTTCTTTCTTTCTTTTCTTTTCTTTTCTTTTTTTTCTTTTTTTTCTTTACTTGTAGGTTATGGAGTTTTGTTCTATCCTTGGACGATTCAGAAAAATACCCACTGTCATGATTTCCCTTCTTCTTTGGACATGAATAGATAGATACCCGCGCCCTCTTGTCTCGATTCAAAGCCACAGTCAGTATTCGGCTTTATTGAAACAAGTCAGCTTAATCCATTCACACAATATAATGGTACCTCTCTCTCTCCCTCTCTCTCCTCTCTCTCCCTCTCTCCACCCCGCATGAGAAAGCACGGTTTGCAGTGATAGTCCAGTGTCAGTGATATTGGTAGTGATGATAATAATACAACGTGGGGCGCACCATCCCCCGATTCATTCGATGCGATGAAACAAGAGACATATGGATGGGCGAGCCTTGTCGGTGTGAGCAGTGAGAAGAAAAAGGTGATGGTTGCACTGTTAGCGTCGGGCCTTCTTCTTCCTTTCCTTCCTTCACCTTCATCTCCTTCTACTTGGTCCCGGGCCGTGGGAAGGAAACCAGTCATCTTCATTGTACAAGTGCTGTCGAGAGAGAGAATATCAAGTATTATCACGACACTTGAAAAGTGGGAAGGGACTCAGTCGTCGTGTGTCTCGTCCTCTTCATTCCATGTAATTAAATATCGTGCAACCTCCTTCGCTCCCTCGTTCGAAGAACAGTTTGACTCATCTCGTACATGAGCCGCCTCCATTTTTTTTTTCTTTTTTTTTCCCACAACGTACGCATGGCATGGCGCGGTCCAGTTCACCCACCTTTTCTGTCTACCTTGCTTTTCTCTTCCTTTTCCCCCGCGCAGCTGTCATCGATAAACCTGCTCTTGTTTCCACAGTGGGGCGTGCAAGTAGTTTGACCTTTTGTTATATTAACGCTTTTCCCTACGACGTTGAATCTAACTAGGCTCGTGAGATTTCACTATTTCAAGCAGCCTCATCATAATAATAGCTATTACTTTATCAGCATATCGCGGATGCGATTACTATTGCACCTATACGAGGGGGTCAGTAGGCTAGGTTAATTATATAACCTCTCCAGCCGTCAATCTTGCCGTCGTGATGACCTGAAACGCCCTCGTCCTGGTGGGTAGTAAGCTAGTATTATAAGAAAAGCTGTGCATCTGAACGAGCTGGACACACAAAAAGGACGGGCCCGCATTAGACCGCCACCGGTTTATCAGACTGCCCCGCGCAGCCTCTCTGACTCTTTGATAGGGAGACTGTCGCGGCGATCGGCATTATGTGTTGCCCGTGAGCCGTGTCTCCCGCCGACGGAGAGGAGGGAAGTGAGGAGACAGACACCTTGACCTTTACTTTCTCCTGCCGTTCCCAGTCCATATTCATTGCCAGCCTGCTTACGAGCGGTGACGGCCGTGTCTATGGTACTGTACGAAGTGATGATGCAGGAATGTGGACAAGTCTCGGGAGATAGAAAGGTACGCTTCAAAGGCATCCAACCTTGGTTCTCCCTCTCTCTCTATCTCTCTCCGTGCGTGTGTGTGCGTGTGTATGCGTGTGTGTGTGTGTGTGTGTGGGTGGGTGGGTAGGTGTGGACGGAATGTGAAAATGGCTTGTGCACGTGTGCCTTGCTTTGATCCTGTTTGGGAGTTGGTGTACGAATCTCGAGTATACCTCAATCGTTGGCTGCTTCTGTCGATGCTGCTACTAATAGAACAAAGGTATTGATTGTCTTGGGACGACGAGATAGTAGTAATAAAAAGACTTACCCGTCTCGTCGCTATGTGAGATAGCTGTTTCTCCTCCCCGCCCCCCCTTCCGTGCTGATAGCAGCGATACACCATTCACATGCTTGGGGACGTAAGAGGGATCCATCCATGATTATAGCTATCAATAGAGATAAAGGTGGGCGGTAAAAGGAAAACAGAGCCATGCTATGCTAGTTAGCAGGGTGCAAAGCCAGCAAGGGAAAGACCAGGTCGAGCGAACCAGCGCAGCAGGCAGAGAGGCAGGCGAAGTGAACACAGCCTCATCAGAAGTCTGCCTTGTTCATCATGGGCATGCTTGCAGTTGTGTGTGTGCGTGTGTGCGTGCGTGAGATGTGTTTTGAATCGCGCGACGTGTGCCGGTCGATGGTTGCTTGTACACTCTGTGGTATATATGTCAGCTAGCATCTGTTGATGTATGAGACTCCCGTGTATGAGAATCAAGCATCATACTAGCAGCAGAACAGCCTGTGTCTGTGCTGTACACGTATCATACAGACAGGCACACACACATACACACCAGAGCATGGGGTACGCAGGCAGACGCGGGTTGGTAATGACGGCGATGCCAAGAGCTAGTCAGTCATGGCGGGCATATTACCATTGTACGAGTCACCCGAAGATAGCCTATCGGTCTCTGCCTCAAGTTTGTCGACGGCAGTTCGCTTCCATCTTCCATGATTTCGATTCTGCACGGGTTGGGCCGCAATGTATCATGCCGTGACATCTGCCACAGACCTGTTTCAGTGTCGGACAAGAGAAAAAAGAAAAAGAAAAGAGAGCTGCTGCCTGGCATAGTCTTGAACCACGGCTTCTCTCCCCGGTATCACGAGTTTTGTCGTGGGGTCTCATGAAATTTCCCATGGCCATGCAGCGTACAACCGTCAAGTCTTGGGGGGCAATAACTCGTACTCGTACGTCGGACCTTCAACTCCTAGTAAGAGAGAGGCATTGGTGGCTCTGGTGGGCCACCACCACCACCGCCGCCACCACCACCACAATCGGGGTTGGTGTCGACTGCGGCTGGCGGCGGCTGTGGACCACCCCCCCGGCGGCAGCAGCGCAGGTGGGGTTTGGGAACCGCGGGCACCAACGACAGGCAACGTGCTTCGATGGCTGCTTCTTGTACTCGTAGGCTTGTTTCCGTACGCTCGCTGCTGCGACGTGCTCCTCCCAGACAGATTCCAGGCACCAGCCTCTCTTCCACGTCCTTGTATGGCGGCTTGTGGGGGTGGGTCCGAGAGAGAAACAGAGCAGACGAGAGTCGTCCCACCTGTGTGTTTGGCCCATAATCGTCTTTTTTCGTCGTCTCCTGCGGTGTCGAAGTCTGTATCCATGGCAGCATCGTCTTGTTCCTTTCTTCCGATATGCGAGGACGGTGCCGGGTAAGCATGTGCATGACAGGAGAGGCCGTGCGTAGACAGAGAGTGAAGATGGGAAGAATGGGCAGAGAGAGGAGGAAAGAGGAGGAGACATGGCTTTGCAAGAAAGGAGCTAGCAGAGCCATTTTGCATCTCACCGCCTCATCGCTGCTGCCGCTGCTGCTGCTGCTCGCTCCTGCTGGTTTACTGCTCCTGGCCATTCTCGGGACATGTCTGGCGTGATTTTGTCCGCACGCCACGCAGCCACGCAGTACTAGTATTAATGCTGTCGGTATAAGCAGCACGTAAAGTATATGCGTCGATGGTTCCCAGGCTAGCAATCGGTGGGATCGACCATTGATACTGCATGCACTGGTACTCAAACATGCATGTCGTGATATATATCTGTACATGGGATATCGGCAGCATCAGTGTATCATGGCGTACTAAGGTAATAATAAATAGTGGCATTGCCACTGATCATGTTACGTCAATGATTGTACTAGTAAAAGGCTTGGGCAGGTGCCTACGACGGCTCCTTCTCCCTTTTTTCATATCCCGACATGTTCTTCATGCTTCCATGCTGATATCATCACATCGCAATATCCCAGCCTGAGGCAGAGTTTGCAGGTTGGCTTCGCGGTTCAACACGCCTTTGTTTGCCCAGGTGGGAAAGAACAGCCGGTCCTGGTTGCCCTGGATTGCCCTGGATCCCCCGAGTAGGTTGGACTCTTTTTGGCTCTTTAACGGGCCGGGACCCACTTGGCATGCTTCTAGGGCCGATGGCATATTACGGCGTACGAACGAGTGCAGAGAGTATCAATACATGCACGCAATGTACGGCCGAAGCAGTACCACAGCTCACCACCAGTGCTCTGCAATGCTCTGCAATGCTCGTACGAGAAAGAGTATCAGAATAGTATTAATTGTTATATTATTACAAACGGATTAGTGTTCTGCTAGTATACAGGTGTATACAGGTGGGACTGAAAGAACTCTAAAAGTCTCGTATAGCAATTACTGTCTCGGTAGTACTCTCACTTACCTTGTGATGATGCTACCCGTACTACTACACTACGAGTACTGACTGTACCACTACACTGGGCCACTGCACTGGCCACAAACGCACAGCACACCATCTGCCCTCCCCTACCCCTCCCCCTCCCCCTCCCCCACCACACCTTCTTTTTTTTTTCTTTTCTTCTCCCCCCCTCCCTCTCCCAGTCTGCCTCACTCTCTCCGTACAAAGTACCCGTACTCTTATTACAGTTATTACTCTGTACTCATAGTGAATAAACTATCCTCGTCCCTGCCCAAAAAAAAAACAACCCTGCTACCTTGTTACTTGGAATACACCTGCCACATTCTCTATCCGCCGACGCCGCTGCCGCCGCTGGCTCTTCCCTTCCAAGTCTCTTACGCATTTTTTTTGGTCCTCCCCCTCCCCCCCTCCCCCTCAAATCTGTGACCCTACGTATCTTCCTCGTACCACACCCACCCGCTCTTTTTTTTTTTCCTTCCCCTGGTTTTTTCTGTCTGGCCACCGCTGCTCTCTTGCCTCTCTTGCCTTCCTCCTATTCACTCCCTCCTGCTATTACTCCCCACCACCACCACTGCCCCCCTGCTCGCTTTCTCCCCTTGTTCCTTCTTTCCCTTCTTCTACTACCTTCTACTCTCCTTCCCTTCCCCTTCCTTCCTCTCCTCTCTCTCATCATGAGCCCCCAGGATTCGAAAAACTTTGCGTCGACGGACCTCAACCCCAAGACGACCGACTCTACTGCCCAAGATGCCTCCTCGCGACGACAGCCCCCCTCCTCCTCCGCCGCCTCCGCCCAACTCGCCAGTGCAAAGGTAGAGCTGAAGCGCAACCTGCGCCACTTTGCCGACTTCCCCATCCCTGGCATTGACTTTGTTGACATCATGCCCCTCTTTGCCAACCCGACTGCCCACGTCACCCTTCTCGATGCCCTCGAGCTCCAAATCTCCCAGGCTTTCCCCGACACCCGCCCCGATGTCATCGTTGGTCTCGACGCCCGTGGCTTCCTCTTCGGTCCCGGCCTCGCTATGCGCCTCGGTGTCGGCTTCTCCGCCGTCCGCAAGCAGGGCAAGCTGCCGGGTCCTTGCGCCACCGCCGAGTACGTCAAGGAATACGGCAAGGATCTCTTCCAGATGCAGGAGGACGCCATCAAGCCCGGCCAAAAGGTTCTCATTGTCGATGACATCATTGCCACTGGTAAGTCCTGCCACCTATATTTTCAGATATAGCCTCGGCCTGCCCTGTCCGTGTCATATACCGAGACATGTAATACCGAGACATACATGAGATTCACACATCTGACCAACCATCACAGGTGGTTCCGCCAAGGCTGCCGGTGACCTCGTCCAACAGCTCAAGGGCGACATCATTGGATACCTCTTCATCCTCGAGATTCCCGGCCTGAACGGCCGCGACAAGCTTGAGGGTGGCCCCACGACCATCCTCATGGACGAAGTCTAAGCATATCCCAACCTCGTCACTACTACCAGGTAATCAATCACCAGAGTCTGGCGTTCAGCACACCCCTTCCCCCCCTTGAACCCGACAAGTCAAGCTGGCGAAAAAGTCCTGTGCTATGAGCAATATTCTTGGTACATGACATTCTGTTACGAAAACTACGAAACGAACAAAAAATCATCGCTATCATCCGCGCGTTTTAAACAAAACCCAAAAAAAAAACCCTTAGCACATATAAAACCACCAACACTACAACCTTCATCCCACTCCCATCGTTGCTTTCTTATTTCATCCGGGGGCGTTACTCTTTTCTTTTCTCCTGGTTCTCATATTGGCATGGTTTCACCCCCCCTCCTACCTCCCAAAAGAAGAAGAACAACGAGTGGATGTTGCAAATGAGGGTATTTTCTCTTCTTTTTCTCATTCCATTTCTGCATCAATTATATAGACAGGAGCGCTGGGCGGCTTTCCGAAGAGGCTTTTTTTTTCTTTGACAACATCCTCTTATTCCCACTTTTCTTTCCTCTTGGCCACTTCTTAGTCATGACATTGATTACAGCTCCTTACCTGCATATCAACAAGAATGATGATGTAGGGCAAGCCGACAGTAGCCAGGGCGGCAAAAACAGAAACTCTGCAATATAGGGGCAGGCGATGGTCTTCAAGTGCCCTTCTAATCTTGTTTCCCATATCAAGGATACTGATATTGGAAGCCGATGTCGTATGCTCACCTATTTCTTTCGTATAATGGATACAGGCGCTGGGCGTTTTTTCCCTGTTTTTTTTCTTTCTTTTTTATCAATGGTTTGCCAATATCCATCTGGCCCATGACGTTTATTTCTAGTGGTTTTATGGCATAATAAAAATAAAAATAATGGTAGTAGTAGTAGTAGTAGTGGTAGTAGTAGTAGTAGTAAACCCCATTTCTATTTCGTTTCTGTCGATTGACTACCAATACCCATCATAAAGAGTGTTTGACAATGGAGGGGTGTAATATGAATTATATATATATATATATATATATATATATAATCAAAACATTTTTTTGTAAAAAAAAAGAAAAAAGTCAAAAAGTGCTATTTCATAAAAGATGAAAAAAATAAAACATCTCAAAAAAATAAAACATTTGCTGGCTGTGCGTGCGTGCGTACGTGTGTGTGTAAAGGAGAGCGTATATGACATGTCTCTCTCTCATGAGTGCATGTATGTGCGAATCTATCTTTAGGGGAGGGAGGTGTTGCGTGCATGTACGTGTGTGCGTGTGTGCGTGCGTGTGTGGGTGGATCAGATGACGACTGCATTCTCGACAGGCAGTCCCTGACTGTGAACGTGGTACTTCCTCCTGAGACCGACGCCGGCGGCACGCGAGAACACGGAGTCGTAGTCGCCCGGGGCGGCGCTGACGAGGACCATGGGGATGGGGTGAGGACGGCGCAGTCCGCTAGGGGTACGCTGCTCCTCATCCAGGAGAGGCCTCGTATCGTCGTGGTACATGCTGCCTCGTGGTTCCCCTTGCTTGTACTTGTTCCCATTCTTGTCCTTGTTCCCGCTCTTGTGCTTGTGCTTGTTGCGCCTGTCCTCCTCACCAGGGTAGTGGGCACTGTTGTCGTCGTCGTCATCGTCGTCTTCTTCTTCTTCTTCAGACTTGCTACTCTCGTTGACGACGAGGACGAGCTGTAGGGAAGAGGGGGAGGGGGAAAAGGACGGAATGTTGGATAGCTTGCGGGAGAAGGAGCAGCCGCCCCTACGGATGACGATAACCTGATGGGACTTGGGGGCGCGGTCAGGAAGGGGCTCGTCGCACGCGTAGCCTGCCATGTAGATTGTTCGCCAGGGGAGGTTGAGGAGCGGGTCACGCGCGTTGTGAGGGGGACTCCCCGGGATGGGTGTGTCGATTACGGGCGGGGCTGGGAAGGCACCCGGTCCGGTGGGCGTGTAGGCCGTCCATGTGTATGTCTTTGGAGCGGGGACTGGGTCCAGCGTCGAGGATGGGGCGTTGGTGTAAGATGGTTCGAAGACGGAGGAGAAGACGCGTAGGAATGAACGGATAAAGGACTCGGATTCTTCTTCTTCTTCTGCCTCTTCCTCCTCCTCTTCTTCTTCTCCCTCCCGTTGTTGTTGCTGTTGTTGTGTAGCAGAAGAATTGGTGGAGGTGGAGGTGGTGTTGCTATTGTTGTCACCGGAAGCTGGGGGTATGACCCGGCTTGTCTCGGGGTTGTCGGGAGTGCTGTCGACCATAAGCCTAATACTGATAACGTCTGGGTCGCGCAGGACGGTAAAGGCCTCGTCGACAATGTTGCGCACGTGCTCGGCGTAAAAGAAGACGCTCTCGTGCTGTCCTAGTTCCGTGGGACCGACGTGCGTGATGCGCCACGTCTCGGTCTGCACCTTCTCCTGCTGCCGATCCTGCTCCCCGTCATCGTTGTACCTGGTGGTGCTGGCGGCCGGGCGCTTCATCTTCTCCAGCTGGAGTCGGAGACCTTCGAGGTTGCGCACCGTCGGGCCCTGGTGGTCCAGCCAGCTGAGCGAGGTGCCGAAGCGTGACATGACGGAGCTGACGGCGTCGTTGGTCGGGAACTCGATCCACGATATCGCACGGTGTGGCGGCGCCGTGCACATGCCGTCCGGCGGCAGGAGCTCCTCCGGCAGGGTCCAGGGGAACAGGGTGTGGTTGGATGTGGGACGGTGCATCACCCTATGGCCCAGTCGCTTGTCCGGCACCTGTACAGCTTCGAGGGGCCCGTGGACGTTGGGCGCCTTGTGCAGGCCGGTGAAGCGCGACACCCCGAACAGGTCCGGGCGGGCGGCCGTGACGGAGCCCGACAGAGGGTTGGACGGCCGCACAACCGGGCACATATCGGTGAAGGTCTCGTCCAGGTAGGCGTACGTCGACATGCTGCTCCTGTTGGTCTTTTTCGTCGTCGTCGTCGTCGTAGTAGTAGAAGTAGTTGTGGTGACGGAAGTCGACGTTGTCGACTTCCTCAGCCTGCCGGCGCTTCGTCTGGCGGTGACCGCATGGCGCTGCCTCTTGGGTATGATGAGCGGGTGGCCCTCGGTGGAGAAGACGAATGGGGCGTCGAGCTTGTTGAGGGCGTGGTCCGGGTCGAAGAGGAGATACATATACTTTGTCGTCTCGCCGAGGAAGAAGCTCTCCATGCGGTCCTGCTTCTCGCCCGTGCGCACGTCCTGGAGCCCGGCCCAGCCGCAGGGCGCCCAGCACCGCCACTTGATGTCCCTGAGGACCATCTCGCCGACGTAGAGGTACCACGGGTCCTTTGTGGCGCGGTAGATGTAGAAGGTGGACTCGATGAACTCCGGTCGGCCGGGCCACCAGCCTATGCCCCCCTCGACGTCGTTGCCGCGAAAGGACCACCGCTCGGGCAGGGCCGAGTACCGCGTCCACAGGGCCGTGTAGACCAGGCTGGCCTCGATGGCCTCGTCGATCTCGCCGGCCAGGGCCAGCAGGCCCGGGTAGAAGGCGCCCAGGCTGTCGATCCACATGGTGTACGGCTGGCCCGAGACGCGGTGGCTGTTGGAGTAGTAGGGGTACGTGCTGCGGTTGGTGTAGATGTGGCGCTTGACCGACGCGTGGGCCTGGTGCCATGCCTCGAGGAAGGCGTCGGACGAGTGCAGCTGCGTCGGCAGGGGCTCGTACATGGTGTTTGGGTCCAGCCAGTCGGTCCTGCTGGGCCGGCGGTGGGACGCCGCCGTCGGCGTCCGCGTCGTCGCCGTCGTCGTGTTGGGCGCGTCGTTTCCGGACAGCAGGATGTGACTCTTGAGCGCGTACTCGAAGAAGCTGTCCATGCCTGCGCCGATGCCCGAGTGGGGGCCGATCCACATGCCGTGCTCGGCGTCGATGCCGTTGCCGATCAGCCCGATGGGACTACGCCGGCCCCAGACCTCCCAAAAGGCCCGCTTGGCCGCCTGCTCGAACCGCGGGTCACCAGACAAGCGGCTGAGCACGGCGAACTCGAGCGTCAGGCTGCCGGCGCCGGCGCTGCACGTCTCGGTGATCTCCCGACGGCGGCTCTGCTCGACAAAGTCGCCGCTGGGAGCCTCTGGGTGGCCGTGGAGGGGCGAGTTGGTATAAAAGGGGATGCCGTGGCGCAGGTTGACGCGCGGGTACGGCAGGCCGGTCTGGGTATAGAAGGCCGGCAAGAGCCTCTGGCCGAGGTCAAAGGCCAGGCGCAGAAGCTGGCCGTCGTACTGGAAGCCGTTGGGCCACTGTATGGGGGGGAGCTCGAGCGGATCGTCGTCACCGTCGCCGTCGCCGTCGCCGCCGTCGTGGTACCGACGGCCGGCGGCGGCGCCACGCGGGTCATATCCGGCTATGGGAAGCTCACCTATGGCGAAGAGATGAGCGCTCAGGAGACCGCCGACGCCGCGGATGACCGTCTCAAACACCTGGACCTTGCTGTCGAGGTCGAATCCGAAGGCTCGCAGGCCCTGGCCGGTCGGGCCCTGCCTGCCGTCGCCGTAGTACCTGACGAGCTCGGAGACGCCGTGCTGGAAGTCGCCCAGTGCTTTTGGGCCGGTGCCGGAATCGTCGACGGGGCCCCCCGCCAGTATCGCGAGGGTCGATAGGCTATCGATCAGGGTGAGGGAGTAGTTCCCCAAGGCGTCGTTGAGTCCGATCTGCGTGGGGTCGTCTCGGTCACGCGACAGGGGCTTGCAAGTGATTGGGCGGAGCTGGACAGAAAGGTCCCCGAAACATGTCAGCACGCTCACGTCAGAGACAGAGAGAGATGGAGAAAGTGTGTATGTGTGGAAATAAGAAGAGGGGCGGGGGGAGGGGGGAGGATCTCCTCTTCTTTCCAGCAAGACATACCTCATCCTCCGGGAATCCGTGCTCCATGTAGTTGTTCCAACCGTGGTAGAACATGTCGACGGTGCCGCGACGCAGCTCGGCCATCCGGCTTGGCCGCATGGCCGTGGCTGTCCATGGTAGGAGGACGGATACGAGGAGCAAGAGGGTCAGCGACATTCTCGAACCCGGCGACGACGACCTAGGGCGAATGTTGGCTGTCGGCAAGTGTCACGACGGCGCGGGGACTCTCCGATTTGCATTTGAACGTCATTGGGGCCGGAGTCCGGGTTGGAAGCAGAGCCGAAGCAGCAAGCAAACAAGCAGTTTTTTTTATAGTTTTTTTTTTTTTATAATCGAGGAAAAGGAAAGGAAAGGAAAAGAAAAGAAGAAGAAGAGAGAAGTTTCTTTTCCTTCGCCCCCTTCTTTTCCCTCTATATAGCCGGTTAACTTTCTCTAGATGCCCCGGCAGTTGATGGTGCCGGGCGTGTCGTCGTCGTCGTCGTCGTCGTCGTCGTCGTCACGATGTTGGAAATGGGGACGAGAGCTTTGGGTGATGATACCACCTATCATGGTTTCCGTCAACTTTGTGTGTGGGACGAGCCACATGTTTTTTTTGGCTGTGGCTTGACGTTGGAACGCCGCATGAGGTATAGGTAGTTGTGGCGCTTTCTTTCTCCCCGCTTTTTCTTGATTGTTCTATAGGGTATGTCCGATTGACTTGGGTTTGATGTCTAGAGGACGCTATTATATATACTATACATCGATTGAGCCGTCGTATGGTCCGAAGCGCCTCAAGGGAGAGCCAACCAACCGTCCGTATTCCGTACATGGATGTGGAAGAAAGAAAGGTTAGATGGATGGTCAGAACCCATCTATACAAGACAAACAGAACAGATTAAAAGTTTGCATTCTTCCAATGTCTCTGCACCGTTCAAGCTGCGCCTAGTCTTTGCCTACCCATGTCAAGACTCTTGTCAACCCCAGCGATATATAATACACACATGCGTGCATACAAGATACAGGATACAGGATACAGGATACAGGATACCGGATACAGGACACAGCTGTTGAAAAGACGTTGAGACTCCTATGTACGAGTGATCTCTACGCAACGCGGCAACGCGGCACCGCTCAACGATGACAGGTGGATGCGCGGTGGGGACAGAAAAGGGCATCGATCGATAAGCCAAGGCGCGCGCTACCGTTGATGTTGCCATTCGGCCAATCCTTGTCGATGATGGATGGTATCCTCGTCGATATCCTCCGGCCGTCCTCACCCCATCCCGTACCGGTGCGTGTACCACTCTGACGGACTAAGGTGTAACTCCGCACTCATGCTAGCCTTGGTAGTTCTACAAGGTATAATATAGTATCGGAAGTACGAGTACACGTAGCTTGTAGACACACGCCCCCCCTTCCCCTGGTGCCCATCCGTATTCTGTAATCTGCACAGATTACGGAGTCCGGGTATGGAGACTTGGGAACTCCACCGGGGCGTAGTAGCTGTACTCGTACACTCTTTGCTCTCTGCTCCGTACGGATTACTGTAACGGACGCTCCTACAACGGAGAAATGAAGGGAGGAGATCTCGTATACGTATACTTACCGATCACCGGCGGTTCGACTTCTCACTCCGTAGCGTGGCGAGTGTCTGGTATTGCAATGCTACTATCGGTACTCGGTACAGATGGCTCCTCTCCCGTCCGTCCTAGCCCGACGTCGTACGAACGTCCTCGGCAGCGGATCCGGCGTCGCCGTTGATACCTTACGCTGGTGCGCTGCAGTCTGCAGAAGCGATACACGGACTCTTCGTCCTCGAACTCGCTCGTCGTACGACGTCGAGCCGGTCTCCCTGCTCTCCTCCCCCGGGCCATCACCGACAGCAGCCAACACTGATACACGCGCGTCACGGCCTTGCTCGGCTGCACAAGCGACGTACTCGTGTGCGTGCTCGAACCTGCAGCGCGAGCGACAGCTGTCTTGCCTCTTCCCTTGTTGATTGACATATTATTATTACTTGTAATACAGGGTCTTGACCCTTGCCAGAGTTGCTACTGTCAGTCTAGTGCCCACGCTATCCGGATAACACTTGTAGACCCGAGCCCTTTGCAATCTGCATGCGCACACATGCACACGCACACACACACACACGCATATCATATTAATATGTGATGCATACAGCTAGTATTGCTAGTTCCTAGTACGATGCCCTAGTCTTCTCTCTTCATCCATCTCTTCTCTACACGCATGCATCTTCCTCTTCGATCCTACTCTCTGTCTCTCCGCACAAAGCGTGATATGCGCGCTTGTGTGGACAGGAGAAAGAAGAAGAGAGAACCGGGTTGTGCTCCGTACATGCATGTCGAATCCACCGCGGTATTTGCCATGAGGAAGCTAACCGCCGTCATTGCTTGGCCGAGCTGAACTTGAACACCCCACCCCCTCTCTCTCTCTCTCAAGTCCGGAGATGACAGGTCCGATTCTCCTTTCTTCTTGATCCTCTCGAGCTCCTGACCCCTTGTCAATAAGACGCAGACGATTAAACGAACGAGTGGGGAATGGAGGAACCGGGTCGTCTCCGATTCAAGAGTTTCTTTCTAAATCCGTTCTCATCGCCTGCCCGTTTTCTCGGTCTTCTCCCGCGCTTTCTCTGTCTTTTGTACGACGTAATATCGGCCTTTTCTTCTTCTTGTTCTTCCTTTTTTTCCTCTTCCCTTTTCATTATAGACAGTACTAGGTACATTGCTCTCATATTGCATCTTCATGTAATACCGTAGATTATAGATTATAGATTAATACATTTTCCGAAACCCCTGTCACGTTATGCTGCCTCGATGCGACCTACCCCCTCTGCTCTCGCAGCAAGGTCATCACATTCATCACATCACATAGTCCACGCGGCTAACGGGCATTAACTTGGGGGATATTCATGCTGATACTCGTCACCAGAACCCGGAGAGGAGGCATTGAAGATGATTGCAGGGGATGTGCTGGTAGTCATACACAAGTAGGCATCATCTTCCCCCCCCCCCTCTTCCTCTTGTCCCTCCTCCGAATTCGGATAAGAATAAGTGGACAAGGGAAAGAAAATCAATCGGCAGGACGAACGAGAGAGAAGAAGATGAAGACGAAGACGAAGAAGAAGAAGAAGAAGAAGAAAAGAAGAAGGAGGAGTACGAGGAGGAGGAGGAGGAGGAGAAGGGGCCCATGTACATGTACAAAGTACTCGTGCATGGTAATATGCATTCCGCTCTCTCGTCCGTCTGGCATACCCTCGACGTTTCATCACGGTCCACCCTCATTTACCAGACTGTCGGTAACGGACAAGAAGGGAACGCGTAAGTCTGACAGACTGAATACATCCCAAGGTATGGTCCTCTCTCTCTCTCTCTCTCTCTCTTCCTCTGTCTCTCTTTCTCTCTTGTCTCTCCCTTTCTCTCTCCTCTCTCTTTCTTTCCTCCCATCTTACTCTTCTCTGCTCTTTCTCGGAGAAAGGAAGAGAAAAAAAAAGCTTCTAACTTATTTGGGAAGATGGATAGATGAATTGAGGCTAAAAGATACAAGTTTGAATCTTGTCCTTTTTTTTTCTAAATTATTTTAATTCTCTTAAACCCTTTTCTATTTTAAACCCCCCCCCCTTTTTTTTTTCCTTTTCCTTTTCTTTTTTTCCCCCTTCCTCTCTGATACATAGACTCCGTACTTGACTAACCCGTACATGTACTTGTTCTGCTCGTATTCATATTCCCTATTAGACAGTTCCTGCTCGTAATGATAACCCCGGCCCGGATCCCTTCTTTTCAGTTGATGTGGATTCTCTTGGTTGAATGTGGAGGAGCGTACGTCGTACTAGCAGTCGATCAACCACATATTATCCATTCCGCGCCCCCCATAACACGCTCAACCTTTTTTTTTTCAGACTAATTTATCTTTTTTTTTTTCCCTCTCTAAATAAGAACCGGCGACGTTATTGATTCGTACATGTACCCTCATGAGGAATGATCTTCTCTCTAGATTTACTCTTCCGGGGAGACCGGTACTTGTTACCCGAGTGGGGGTGGCTTTTGCCACTATTAAAGACGACAACCTCGAACGAGGCATGGAGACTCCGTATTACATGATGTATGGTTTATCATGTACGTATCATTGTAATACTACTGTATGTACGGAGTATACGGGGCACATTATATATAATACTTGGTTCCATCTGTACATAGCAGTACACACACCATATTGATCCTTATTCATCTACGGAGTAATGTGAACTTGGCAACTTACCAGTATCGTACCATAATCTTTATTCATCTATAAACTTACCAGTATCGTTACATTTGCTATTGATCTCGTACCTTGTAGCTCCCAGTCACTCTTGGGAAGCTCTGCGGGTATAATACTTATTACATAGATTTGTAGGTCGGTATACTTCCTCCGTACCCCGTACACTCCCATCTCCATGTCTCTCGCCTTAGCCTACTCAACAGCAATATAGTAGTAGTAGACTTGTCGACAGTCGGGTATATATACAACTACCGCTATCATATTGGCAATACCCTTTCGCACAGAACCAACCCATGCTGTATGCTGTGATATATTACACAACCATCCTACGGTGAACAGTTGCTCCCTCAAAATTATGTCGTACCCCCGCATACATGTTGATAGAGCCTATGCAAAAGACCATCTAGCAGATCAGCATGGGGAGTGATGCGGAGATCAGTCGGGTATTATTATGACATGGAATGTAGTGCGAGGTATCTCTACTAAACCCTCCTAGATGTGTGTCGAATCAAGACTAGGAGAACAAGAATGACGCGGTTGAAAGTCAGCAAGGTATGTATACACACACACACACACACACACACACACACATATATATATATATATATATGTATATATTGCATGTGTGTGTGTGTGTAATGTGGCTCTTCGATGAGAAGAATGAAGCAATTTATCCGTGACAGGTATAAAAGATATATAAAAACAAGCCCGCAAGCCAAAAAAAAAAAAAAAAAGAAAGAAAGAGAGTTGCATGCATCAATGAAAAGAAAATGACAACCTGTTAAAACCTATCATACCATTTCCATCGATAAAAAAAAAGGAAAGACTAACATGAAGGGGGAGGGGGCAAAAAGATAAAAGTGGTGAAATGCCTGGATACTGTATATATCGAAACCTGTTGTTCATGACTATGAACGAAAGAAGGAAAATAGAAAGAAAAAAAAAACCCTGGAAGCTCCCTGCCAATTATCCCCCAACGCAATAAGGATAAGAGAAAAAGAAGAAGAGGGGAAAGAGATTGTACCATCAGTAAAGGTCTTGTTGTTGTTGGTAAGCATAGACCTGACGAATGACTTCATCTTCGTTGGCCGTATTATGCGATCCAACGCTGACAATGTCGTCATTCCCGCCGGCAGCGCCAGCAGCATTACCATCAACGCCTTCCTCGATGCCGCGCACGGCTGCTGCCGCCGAGGTCGTACCGCCGGTGGCGGCGGCCTGCTGCCGTCTCCTCGCGCTCGTCTTCTTCTGACGTCGTCGGACGTGTAGGTCCGGGTACTGCGTCTCGATGTAGAAACCCTCCTCCAGCTTGAGGTCGGTGGCCAACTTGATCTCGATGTCGGAGGCGCTGAGCTGCATGTTTCGCGAACCGCCCTTCTCGTAGAACCTGTCTAGCAAGTTTTCGTAGCGCTCCTTTTCCATCTCCAAAAAGGCTTCGCGGAGAAGCTCGTCCTAGATTTCTGCATGTCAGCATGACGCCATCTTGCCCTCTTCTCTCTCTCTCTCTCTCTCCTGGAATGGGACTTTCTGGGGGAGAAGGAGGACGGGGTGTAGAGAACGTACATCCTCGGGAAGCCAGTCGTAGTACTTGGCACGAGCCCTCGTGAACCTCATCTGCAGCATCTCCTTGTTGAACTTCTGCTCAAACTTCTGCTCAAAGGCAGCCTGGATAGACTCCCACATGTCGTGGCCCTTCTTCCGACGGTTCTCCCATCTGGCCTCGAAGATGCACCTCTCCTCGGGTGGGCAGTTCGGCTTCAGACGGGGAGGCACCTCCTGACCGTGGCAGTTCTGGTGCTCCTCGAGCGGGTACTGGTTCGCCGCGTGGCTGCCGCCGCCGCCGCCGCCGCCGCTGCCGCCGCTCCTGGCTTTGCGGGACTGGCGCGATCCCGAGCCTGCCGCCTGTCCGGCCACAGCAGCGGATTTGCGCCGGTTGCTGGACCGCGGCATCTCAGGCGACGGGCTGGCGGCCGCGGGGACCGCAGCCGCGGCCGCGAGGCTCTGGGTGTGATGATGGTGACCCCCCATGAGTGGTGTGGGAGGGAGGGGCTGCTGCTGCTGCTGCTGCTGCTGCTGCTGGCGGATGGCCGACTCCTGATCCCTGTCGGGGTGCATTACCGATCCTTCACGGGGTATGAGCGGCGGCGGAGGCGGCAGCGGCTGGTCAGGGACGTGCATGTAGTAGTTGTGGTGCTGGCTCTGGGCGTCTGGGTGATGGTGGTGGTGGTTCGAGGCCTGGAGACTGTGGTGTTGGTGATGGTCGTGATTATGATGATGGTGATGCTGCTGCTGCTGCTGCTGCTGGTCAGTTGCGTCCGAGACACCGTAGCTTCCGGTATAGACGTTATCGGGGGGTCCGGGGGTGAGCCGCCTGTGCTGATGGGTCTGGGGACCGCCGAGGTAGGACGGCGTCAGGAACTCCTGCTGCGAGACGGGCGTCTGGTGGCCGGGCGCGACGGGGGAGCCCTCCTGGCTCGACTGGCCGTTCATGTCGAGGGGGTACCAGGGATACATCGTCCTCGACGGCACCGGCGACGGCTCGTCGGGCTGCTGCTGGTGGGGCGGCGGCGGCGGGACGCCGTGCGGCGCGTAGCCCTCGGAGAATTTGTGGTTGGGGTGCATCGGGGGGGAATTCTCCGTGGAGACGGGGGTGAGGAGGCTGGCGTCTGCGCGGGCCGGATAGTTGAATGAGGAGACCTGCCCCTCCACATCTTGTAAGTCAGCTCACGTCTTCTCTCTCTCTCTCTCTTTCTATCACTGTAGTTTTCCCCCAATATCCTTTGGATTCTCTTCCTTCCATCTTTTCAACTGCTCTTTGAACACCCCCCCCCCCCCCCTCTCAAGGACGACGGGCGCGTGCACACGCGCACACATACACGCCAAGGCACGGTGACGGTTACGTACAGCAGAATAAGGTGTCATCAGATCGGGGTAGCAGGACGATGTGGCGGGAAGCAGTACGGCCGATGAGCGAGGACCTTCGGTCATGATGCACAGCGAACTGCCACGTTGGGATGATGCCTGAGCTGGTGAGAGGAAGCCAACATCTCCCATAGTTTAGCGACAAGGTGACCGTGTTCACTCGTCTTTTCGTTCGTTCTTCCTTCTTCTCGTCTTGTTTTAGGCGAGATAGCTTTTGAGGGAACCGTATAAGTCTGGTTGCGGAGGAGGTGTATAACGATAGGACGAGGAAGAAGAAGTAGAAGTAGAAGAAGTAGAAGTAGAAGAAGTAGAAGAAGATGTAGAAGAAAAAGAGAAGAGAGAGAGAGAGAGAGAGAGAGATCAAACGTATATGAGAAGAAAGAGTTGATGTATTCCTGCCGCGCCAATGGAGCTAATACAAGTATTTAATATGTCGAGGGAAGACAGAACTCGTGGGTGGATGGGAGGGGGGAGGGGGGGGTTGTTTTTATGTTGAACAAGATATGATTGTCGTTTGAAGAGTAGAAGACAACGCCAAGGTGGGTTTAGCTGCGTATCCGTACAAGGCAAGAAGCCTCTTAGCCCTGGGAGAATAATCCAGGAATCAGCCCGGACTATGTGAGTCTTGGCCGCATTCAAACGAGGCCAGGCCCAGAGGGGGGGGGGATGCGGATGCTGAAACAACACGAGAAATGGACACGCGATCACACGAGAATAGAGAGAGGATGAGGGAGGGAGAGGGAGAGGGAGAGAGAGAGCCTTGGCGGGTAGAGAAGAATTTGAAAAGGTTGAGAAGAAGAAGAATAGAGGACACGGACAGGTGAGAGGAGGCCAGGCGGTTTGGTATAAATGGATTATCTGCAAATAAAAAAATAAAAAGTTGTCAAGGCTCTCTCCAAGGTAGGATTAATTGTCTGTCTGCTTGTGCCGATGATGGGGCCGGGGACCGGGGGACCACCCACCCCCAATGTGTCTGTATATTTTCTACATCGTATGTACCTCGACATTGTCGGGTGGATACGACGATGATAGTTCCACACTCTTCTCTTCATCCTCTCTCTCTCTCTTTCTCTCCTTCTCAATGGGAAGTTGTTTGTATCCAGGGGGGGGGGGGGKGAAGGGTAGCAATCCTATGAGAGAAGGGAGGGGGGGTATACAAATTAATAACAATAAAAAGAAACAAAAAGAAAAAGAGAATATAAGAGAGCAGGGATGATGGCGGGATGATATGTTCAAAGGGCCGGACCCTGGACTATGGGTCCCTTCCCCCTCACCCCTCCCCCTCCAGAAAAGAAAAAGGACATGTACGAGTACATCTGGGGCCGTTTAACAGTTGCTGCTAATATCGGGATTAGAATTTTGGCCACCACGAGTTTGGAGTAATAGTCGGTACGTACTGCTCGGGGAACAGGTACGAGTACGTACATGTAATGGTAGTAGCAGTAGTAGTAGCAGTAGTAGTAGCAGTAGCAGCAGCAGCAGCAGCAGCAGCAGCAGTAGTAGTAGTAGTAGGGATTCGGGATACATGCAACGTACAAGTAGCTGTGGTTCTTGTCGTTGTCGCTGTACAGCCAAGTACTATTCCTACGCCATACACCATGAGCAGAGTGACGACACGACCCAAAGACTGGCCGGCCGTCCGAGTCCTTGCAGGATGGGACCGTCCACAGGGACGCGTGAGCTGCAAGACGGGAGGATGTCTCTGCTGAAAAGAGTATGTGCACGCGTGGCATACGGGTATAACAGACAGAGACGACGACAGAGAGAGGGAGAGGGAGAGGGAGAGGTAGAGGCGCGTAGAAGAGTAGAAGGAGGAGGAGGAGGAGGAGGAGGAGGAGGTGGTGGTGGTGGTGGTGGAAAAGAGAGGGCAGGAAGTCTTGTAAATGGATATGCGGAGGCGGAAGGTGCAACCATTCTCGGTCGGCACACTCGGTCGGCACAATGGCAATAACGACCGGGAATGACAAGGAAAAGTTATGCGCCGCAGAGTTGCGGTTAAATAAGTCGGACGAGTCAATTACGTCGGCTACGGACCGGTACTTGACAGGACCAACAAGGAACAAGGCGCGACGAGAAAGGGGCTGCTCGTATGGCAAGGCTGGTAGGGAGAGAAGCTTGCAGAGAGAGACTCATAAAAGAGAGGGCAGTGGAGAGAGAGTGAGGAAGACGCTGGCTGTTGCACCGTAACGGAACGAAGCACCATCTGAGACTTGCATCAAATCGACTGAATATGGAACCTGACTTTGATGTGCGCATACGAGAGAAGACGAGCATACTTGGAGAGGAAGATGGAGGAAGAATGGG